ATTCAACAACTCAAGGATTCTGGAGGAATTCTCACAATGTAAAGGACAAAGTCAGCACTCAGAGGACGTTACGTCAACGTTTGACATTTCTCAACGAAGTCGTGACGTGCAACATTACTTTTTACTAATTGGGAGTGGGGGGGCTCAACCCCTTAAGTTAGCTTAAATAATTAAAAAATGCTTTTGATCAATTAGTAGTTAAAAAAAAAATTAAGGAAAAAGTTTGAAATTCAGAACATTAAGATCAAACTTTAGCGACCTCCCTGAATTAAAACAACAGGTGTAATTTGAACAGCCGAGTCCTGGCATACAGTCTCAGGAAAATAATCTTTTATTTAATATAAATGCATATTTAAAAGAGAAAAAGGACGTGAGTCAATGAGTTAAGTGAGAATTGTGCTGATTCTTTATTCTTAATTTAAGCTGTAAAATAAAAAAAGCAGAGTATGTACACCAGAAGGTGACTTATTTATGCCTGTGTCACATTATTTGTCAAATGGTCGATTTATAACCGCATTAGAATAAAACCTTCTGGCTTTTGGTTTTGGTGTGCTGCCCCGTGACTGACAGTGGCCTTCATCTGGCCACCTTTCTGGAGGAACCCCTGGTTTCTGCCACATAAAGAGTCTTTCATTTACGCCACAAAGTTCAGTTTTGGTCCGATCTGACCTGACGTTTGCTCCACAGGTTTACTGTAATTGCCGCCGTATAGGTTGCATCAGTCCAAGTATATCTAATAAAGTGGAGAAAAAAAAGTTGCTTCGCCATATAAGTCGCATTTATTATGTGTCATTGCTGACGTGTCGCGTTTGTTACAAGTCACCGCTGACCGCCTGGAAACGTGGGCCGGTGTTATGCCAAAAATTGACTGGCTGCCAAATGGCGGCCGCGGGAGCGTGCATGAGAGGACTCTAACAAGAATTTAACAAGATTAACATTTAAAAATAATTATTTGTTTGCTCAAAATTATAGCAAAGGTGTGTCTCAGTTTAACTTTTCCTAAATAGATGCACTTCAGTGGTCAAATCAGCTGCATTTCGCCTGCGTGCCTGTGATGGACTGAGCAGTAAAAGGACAGTCAAGCACAGAGTAAGTAAAAAAAAAAAAGTTTTTTTTTTTTTATTTAACCCAAAAACAAACAAACTTGGGTAAATTATAGAAATTAACAAAATTGGGCCCATAAAAGAGATCAACATAACTGAACTCTATTCAAACAAACAGACCAGGTAACTGAGACAAAGGGTCAAAGTCCCCTAAAGGACTGGAGCAGCTGGCTCTGAGGTAACTCAAAAAACGAAAAAAATTAATCAAATCAAACACATAACAGTGTAAACTAGAATATGCGCACTTATTTTAGCATACAGTGTTATATGATTATGTAAATAAATTCTAAACAAACAAAACAATTCTTTGTTACTCTGGAAATTACAAACCGGATTCCAAAAAAGTTGGGACACTAAACAAATTGTGAATAAAAACTGAATGCAATGATGTGGAGATGGCAATGGCAATATTTTATTCGTAATATAACATAGATGACAGATCAAAAGTTTAATCTAAGTAAATGTAACATTTTAAAGGAAAAATATGTTGATTCAAAATTTCACAGTGTCAACAAATCCCAAAAAAGTTGGGACAAGTAGCAATAAGTGGCTGGAAAAAGGAAATTGAGCATATAACGAACAGCTGGAAGACCAATTAACACTAATTAGGTCAATTGACAACATCATTGGGTATAAAAAGAGCTTCTCAGAGTGTCACTGTCTCTCAGAAGCCAAGATGGTAAGAGGATCACCAATTCCACCATTGTTGCACAGAAAGATAGTGCAGCAATACCAGAATGGTGTTACCCAGCGTAAAATAGCAAAATCTTTTAAGTTATCATCATCAACCGTGCATAACATCATCAAAAGATTCAGAGAATCTGGAACAATCGCTGTGCGTAAGGGTCAAGGCCGTAAAACTCTACTGGATGCTCGTGATCTCCGGGCCCTTAAACGTCACTGCACCTCAAACAGGAATGTCACTGTCAAGGAAATAACAGAATGGGCTCAGGAATACTTCCAGAAAGCATTGTCAGTGAACACAATCCACCGTGCCATCCGCCGTTGCCAGCTGAAACTCTACAGTGCAAAGAGGAAGCCATTTCTGAGCAAGCTCCACAAGCTCAGACGTTTGCACTGGGCCAGGGGTCATTTAAAATGGAGTGTGGCAAAATGGAAGACTGTTCTGTGGTCAGATGAGTCACGATTTGAAGTTCTTTATGGAACACTGGGACGCCATGTCATCCGGACCAGAGAGGACAAGGATAGCCCAAGTTGTTATCAACGCTCCGTTCAGAAGCCTGCATCACTGATGGTATGGGGTTGCATGAGCGCTTGTGGCATGGGCAGCTTGCATGTCTGGAAAGGCACCATTAATGCAGAGAACTATGTTCAGGTTCTAGAGCAACATATGCTCCCATCTAGACATCATCCCTTTCAGGGAAGACCCTGTATTTTTCAACACGATAATGCCAGACCACATTCTGCAGCAATCACAACATCATGGCTACGTAGGAGAAGGATCCGGGTACTGAAATGGCCAGCCTGCAGTCCAGATCTTTCACCTATAGAGAACATTTGGCGCATCATAAAGAGGAAGGTGCGACAAAGAAGGCCCAAGACGATTGAACAGTTGGAGGCCTGTATTAGACATGAATGGGAGAGCATTCCTATTTCTAAACTTGAGAAACTGGTCTCCTCTGTCCCCAGATGTCTGTTGAGTGTTGTAAGAAGGGGGGATGCCACACAGTGGTAAAAATGGACTTGTCCCAACTGTTTTGGGATTTGTTGACGCTATGAAATTTGGAAACAACAGATTTTTCCCTTAAAATGATAAATTCTCTCAGTTTAAACTTTTGATCTGTGATTTGTGTTCTATTCTGAATAAAATATTAGATGTTGGCACCTCCACATCATTGCATTCAGTTTTTATTCACAATTTGTTTAGTGTCCCAACTTTTTTGGAATCCGGTTTGCATATCTTATATTTAACTAAACAAAAAGTATGGTGAAATATACAAAAATCTATTGTAGCAGTGTGATGATTAGACATTACCCCATTTGTGTGGCTGTAACTGCAGCCATTACGAAATGCAGTTGATTTGACGTTCACTCCAGGAGCTCCGGAGCGAGACGAAGGTGGCTTTGTATGGCAAGCCAAGTGTCTCATTTATAGCTTCTTTTACCTATTAATGAGACACGTGGCTTGCCATATTATTCGAGGGCCCTCTAGTGGCTGAAAATGGTAGTGTTCAGTATTTTCCATGTCAGAATGAATGAAATCGTCAGATCTTAGCCAAAAATTGGATTAAAAATATGGGGATATATTAGTCGCTTCGGTGTATAAGTCGCAGGACGTGCAAATTTGTGCAAAATTGGTGCGACTTATACTGAGAAAAATACGGTATTTCAACAATGGCTTTCTTCCTGACGAAGGCCAGATTTGTGAAGTGTGTCACTGATAGAGTTGTCCTGTGAGCCTGTCTCTCTCACCTGAGCTGAGGGTCTCTGCAGCTCTTCGGGGCTTTTGATTGGCTTCACAGGTCCTGGCCCGGCCGTTAACAGACAGCCATGTTGTGGTTTGCAGTCACGCTGGACTCTTTATTTAACTCATTAACCTAGCTCTGCTTTAAATTATTCAGTTATTTTTAAAACTTCTCTGTCTGCTCTGGTCCTTGGTCTTCGTGATGCTGTTTGATCACTAATGTTCTGTGACAAACCTCTGAAGCCTTCACAGAACAGCTGGATTTAGAGATTAAAGAAAATTACACACGGGCTGACTAATAATCCGGAGGCTTCTGAAGGTGTTTGGTTGAATGAGTTCAGGTGAATCAGTGTAAAGGAGCTGAATCAAACACACGCCACACTTTTCACATTTATTTTATTTGTAAAAACATTAAAACACCAACGTTTTCCTCCCGCTTCACATTTACGCACTACTTTGTGTTGGTTTATCACACAGGAGCCCAGAAAAACACTCTGATGTTTACAGCGCGACCAAATGTGGAAACTTTTTTCAATCCGTCGTAACTGCAGTTTACATAAACATGATATAAAAAGCAAACACAGTTCTGCTTTTAATCTGAAGTCCACAACAAATAAAAACAAAAATAAAGGTATGAACAAGAGAAGCACTGAAACAATACCTTTGATTGTATTTTTATTCAACTAATTACTCGTGCTAGATCGTATTTACTCAAACTAACAGATGTTGAAACGGTTGAATGACAAACCACGAACACAAAATGTTATTAATATTAATCATAACTTTAAAAAAATGTTGTTTCAAGTTTACAAATAAGAGCACTTTGCAAACAAAAACTATTCCAGTCAATAATAAGTTATAAAACTTGTACGAAACAAAATTTCAAATTAAAAAACATAGAGCCTCTACATTCAGCTTCTGGTTTTATTTATTAGTAAAAAAATATATATATTAATGGTATTTTTTACTAAAACCACAATAATAATAATAATAATAAATATTAAAGTTAAAGCAGACAGTAAATAAATAAAAAGGTTTGAAGTGGAAAAGGTGGACCGATGAGGATATTTATATTTCAAATCAGTTTAGTTTTACATCAATAAATAAAACGGATTAAAGCAGTTAGACGGCACAGTTTGTATAAACTTTATTATTCTGTTCATGTCGTTTCTGTGTGAAGGTTTCACCCACAAGACACCCTTTTTGTTTGCTGCACTATTCATCGATTCAAACTGAGTGTAAAAAGGTGCCGAAACTTGGAAACCAGTAAAGCTGGAAAACAATCTCACACACACACACACACACACTCACAATCACACACACACACACTCACAATCACACACACTCACAAGCACAGCTTATTCTTTTCACCGTTTGAATCTCTTTCTGCCTGACTGATGGAGGCGAGTGATGAGCAGCAGGATGAATGCAACCCTTGAGCAGGAAAAAGTTTTTTTCTGTAAACTTTGCAGTCGAGACAACCAGGAGAAGTCCAGCAGCAGATTAGGATTCAAATCTTCTGGACTCGTTTGTAATCCGTCTGCTTCTGCTGCCGTGGGAACTTGTTCTTTTTGTACCTGAATAAGAAAAATCACACAGAGGCACTCGGTGAACCACAGACTGTCCTGGAATATGACGACTCAAGATTTCTGCAGTTCTTGCAAACACATTTAGTTTGTTTTTTCTCTTGGAACATCTTAGGTGAAAACGTGCTTTTGGTTTGACTTTTGAAGATGATCTTAAGATCGTCCACCGTCCTCCTTTGGAGTTTCCTTACCTCCGAGCAGCTCTCGATCACCTTGTTCTAACCTGTTGCTCGTTCCGCTCATCCCGGCATACACACACCTGGGTTTTATCAATAATTGCCAAATTCATTTCGATGTTCTTCCCTTTATTTCTCCATCAGTTCTGAGTCATTTTCTGTTTGGACTTCCTTGGCAGCACCTTCCCTTTGAGTCCACCAGATGCAGCACATGGTTGTGTGAACGTTTATGAAGCACTCACACAGCTGAGATCCATTTATCTTCCGTACGTTTTTCAGCATCTTTCTCGTTCCACAGTTTTTGAGCTATTTCAACAAATCATAAATCAAAATGTTCAGCTCTTTCAGGAGAAAGGTGCTATGGCTTTTGGTATTGGTGCAACTTTAGCTTTTTGAAATATTTAGCCTTTTCTGCCACTTTTTTCTCAAAGGAAATGAAATGATCTCATTTTACATCCTTCAAATCTTTAGATCTGTTTACAACCTTTTACTGCTCCTTTCACGTTTTGTTCTGCTTCAGCTTCTTTCAGCTTCCTTGTGCAGATTTAAACTGTTTTCAGCTACTTTCAGCTACTTTCACAGATTTTTCAGCTGTTTTGTGATCCTTTCTGCTAACTACAACATTTTTGTGCTTCTTCAAACTTCTTTTTGCTAATTTCAGCTTATTGAACTTTCACCTTATTTATGCGAGTTTCAGCTTTTTTCGACTATTTCAGCTACCAAATAGCTGTTTTTATGCTAGTTTTAGCTTTTTCATCTAATTCCACATTTTTTGCACTTATTTAAACTGTTTTCAGTCTAATTCAGCAAAAATGTGCTCTCTCCACTTCCTTCTTGTAATTTCAGCTTCTTTCTGCACGTTTAGCTACTTTTCAATAGTTCTTTTGCTAATTTCAGCTTTTTTTTCAGATAATTTCCACTTTTATGCTCATTTCTGCTTCTTTCAGCAAACAAGTTCTTTCTGCTTTCTTATGCAAATTTAAGCTTGTTCTACCTTTTCAGCTACATTTTTTTTTAGCATTTTTAGCTGATTTCAGCAGTCTTCAGATAAATTCAAGTTTTTCATGGTAATCTTTGCTACTTTCAGCCTAATTAAATTCTTTCTACTAATTTCAACTTGCTATGCTCCTTTCAGCTTCTTTCAGTTATTTCAGCTACTATTAATTGTTTTATGCTATTAATTTTAGCATTTTCAACTAATTCCACTTTTTTTTTAGCTCATTTCCATGTCCTTCTAGTAGTTTAAGCTTCTTCCTGCATTTTCAGCTACTTTTCAGTTGTTGTTTTTTTTAGCTAATTTCATATTTTCTGTACTAATTTCTGTTTATTTAAACCTAATTCAGCATTCAACAAATGTGTGTTATTTTTACTTCTGTTTTTCATTTTCAGCAAAAAAAAAACAACGTATTTTTTAGATCATTTCAGCTGTTTTTCAGCAAGTTCTTCAGTAATGAGCATTCACACTGCATTTTTGAAGGAAATACAATTTCTGTAGTTAGCTCTAACTTTGACACTAAGTAGGTGGTCCAAAGAAGAATGACTTCAGGCCTCTGAGTGGTCAAAAGCTATTATGTGGGGAGTGGTGGCGCAGAGGTTAGAGAGGTGGGCTTGTGATCCGAAGATTGCCGGTTCACGCCCCGGCCCCGACAACATCAAAATTGTGGGTGGGGTAGGTGAAACACTCATACTTGCCCCCACCCTCATTCGCCCCACTCTGGGCCCATGAGCAAGGCCCTTAACCCCCACCATGTGCTCCCTAAACAGGTCTCTCTTGAAAATGAGTTCTCGTGGCTCAATGAGACTAACCTGGATAAATAAAGGCTAAATGAAAAAAATGAAAAAATTATCACACCACATTGAATCTCAGACTTTTAAAAAGTCTTACCACTTGCAGCAGAAGTACAGCGCTCCGGTCAGGCCTATCATCAGCAGGATCACACAGAAAATGATGATGAGTATCTGCTCTTTATCGAGTGGCTGAGTAACGAACTCGGGGCTGTCACACCTGGAGCCGTGGAAGCCCTCCTCACACCTGCAACACAAACAGAGGCGTCAGGAGCGACGAGGCGTGGTGATGAAGCAGCACACACACACACACACACACGCAGAGCCAGATGGACGTACTTGCAGTGGTGTTCACCCAGGTCCACCAGCAGCATGCACTTCCCGTTGTTCATACAGAAGTTGTCGAAGCTGCTGCTGCAGCTCATGACGTGCCGCTCCACCACAGGAGGACGCTCTTCTCCCTCACCTGAAACACCACAAACACAACTTGGATTTGAATTTCTGATGGTGCTATACCAGACCAAACATTAAGACTTTATTACCATTTATACACACACCCATAAGATTATGACCACCTGTTTAATAATAGATTCTTCATTCGACAGTAACACGGCTCTGATCCATCAGGGCAGAAAACTGACACGGGTCTGATCAAATCCAGCTGCATGAAGTCCAAATCATTAGGTTCACTGCAGTTAGCTGAATGATCACTCACATAATTTGGTTGTTTGTCGTTATAAGAAAATATCTTAAGATCTGATGAACAGATCTAAATGAAACTAGCAGGAAGTCCTCATTGGATCTAAAACTGATCATTTTTGGAGTCTCTTTGAGATAGTCAACAGCTAATAGGCCTTAGCGTACACGAAAATAGCAACAAATCAGCCAGTTTTACAGATGAACTCAAACAGGACATTATAATATGAGGCGTCCTGCACTCTTTCTTGAAGACATTCGATCCCTGATTCAAAGGACTTCTTCAGTCCTTATGGCTCAAGGCTCCAGGTTTAAAAGTCCTCCCATTCACAGAGTCACGAGTCTCGACTCCCCTGTCCGTCCTGTTAGACCTTTGGGCCCATGTGTCACATGTGAGATATTTACTAACCAAACCAGCATGTGACTGTGAGGACGCCGACTAATGAGCCTGAAATTTAAAATCTGTTATCCAAAGAGACCTTTTGACTGACGGGTGTAACATCCTCAAGAAATAAAAAAGGAAGTTTTTTGCCTTTTGTCTGAACACTTGGAACCGTCAACATAGAAATGTAAAGTAACATTGTTGATCTGTAATCAAAGATAATAAATAATTAATTGCTTATGTAAAAAATTGAATTAGTGTTTATTTTAGTTTGATTTGAACCACTGCAACATTTATCACAGTTACCTTGTCACACTGTGGTTACAACAATTAATGAATTATGTTTGATAAATTCTCTCATCTACAGCTGTCTTCATATCAGCAGCTACAATAAATGTGAGTAACTTGAACTTTGCACAAATACAAAAGTGATATTTATAAGTAGCAGCCGTGCCGATGAGTTACCTGGAGTTAAAGTAGAGTTTTCTGCAGTTTGCAGGGTGGGTGAAATACTCTTGGTGAGAACATGTGGACAAATCAGCAGAACACCTGCAAATGAAACAAATAAAACATTGTTTTTTTTGTAATTATTCTCGATAAATACAGCAACTTTGAATGAATGGGTTTCAAAGAAAGAGGCGAAAAATGTGATTTAAACTGAATGGAAACGTCGTAATGTAATGGATTTCATAAAACGTGCTCGTTTTTCTGTTCTTTATTCACTTTAAGGGCATGTTTATAAGAAAAATAAACAAGAAAAGCATGAAAGTTGTTAGTTTTGTGGGATTTTTTTTTAACGTTTCATGTGTTCGTTTTGTCTAAGTTGAGGTAAAACCTAGAATTTATAACTTAGAATTAATAATTAATTTAAATGTTTTTCTTTAATTTTCCTTTGAGATAACTGTTCAGTTAAAAAAAAAAACTTTAAATGTTTACCAAACAGTGATGCATACACAAAGATGATTTAATTTGTACAAAGCATTGTGTTTTTTCATCTGTGTAATGATTTTTTTTTATTATTATTGAGAACGCTTATTATCTTGATTAGGCCACACCAGTATGATCCGTGTTCGTTGGTTTTGTTTGAATAAATCACTATATTCCCTTTAAGGAAAACCCCAGAGGTGAAAAAAAAACTGGAAGAAAATTAAAAACGCAGTTTGGTTGGAATTGTTCAAAGCCCCTCCAGACGTAGGACGTGACGTGGTTATGTCATGCTTGTATCGACCTGCACGGTGTTTAAGGACGCCCACATTCCAGCAGAAAGGACAGAAAGACGCACGAAGCTCCGTGCAAGACTCATCTGGATCTGAATCTGCGAATACTTGCAACCTATCTCTGTCCATCACTCCCTTTCTGCTGCTCGGAAATACTCTTTCTGCACAGTGAAGCTGCTTCGGATGATGTACTGGTGTAAAATACACACTTCACAGAAAGCAACGTTTCCCAGTTATTCACCGTTCTATCAATCAGCTTGTTTAGGTCTGAAACCAGTGACTCATCCTCATAGTATCCATTTGTGTTAATGAGGCAAGAACTTTATTGAATTGTTACCCTAAATGCTGATTCTCTGACCCTTTGGTTTAATTTTACTTTGAAATAAAAGTTCATTTCCTTTTAAAGTGAACGAACCACCAACACATTATACATTTAATAAAGTTATGAGTGACAAATTCCTGATTATCATAAAAAAAACCCTCTAAAAACAGGACAAACACCAAGACTGGTATTTATTTTAGCAGTGTCTCTGGAAGTTTTATTCATTTAAATAAAAAAATTACTGCAAAACTGGTGGAACAAATCGACCAGGCCGTCCAGTTTCTGTGCAAAATGTTCTCGTTGGCGTTTGCCTCCTTCAGGCTGTGACCTCCTGACCCTCTGCTGGAAACATTTAGTTGTTTCCAAATTCTTAAACCAGACAGGTAAAAACAAAAACAACACGTTGATGCATTTTGGCTTTTGTATTGTTGCATCTCAATGTCTGACAAGTGCCACTAAACTTTAACGACGGAAGGAATATTTTTTTATTTCATTTCAGGATTGCGCAACTTATAAATAAAACCTAAATATCGTCATAAAGTCTACACAAGCACAAATTTTTCTTCATCCTTTAGTCATCATCAACTCAGAGCTACAAGCTTTACACAACCAGCTTTAAATGATGAAACTTCCCGACACGTTTGACACGTTTTTATTTCAAACTGGCTGCATTTTGTGAGTGACGGAGGGACCGTTTCTAATTGTGAGTAAACAACTTGTATCCTCAGTTTACACATGACTTAAGAGTATTACACGCACCAACTAAACCTTAGAACGAGTTTTTACGCAACGTGATCCACCAAGTACAAGAATCTTTCATTTGGGTAATTTTTTTTGTAAAACTATTCTTATTAACTATCTTAACAGTGAGATTAAGAGAATGTTTATACAACTTAATAACCAAAGTATGTGTATATATATATATATATATATATATATATATATATATATATATATACCAGTGTATAGAATTTTAATGTGGCAAATTCAATACAGTTTTTTAAAAGAGATTTGTAAGAAATAATGGAAAATATCACGATGCAAATACTTGAGAAAGTGACCAAAGTAAAAACCTTGAGTGTTTTATAAATTCATCAACTGAGCCGAACTTTAGCGTGAAATTATAAACGCAAGTAGAGCGAAGAACAGCTGGTTCACCTGAGAGTGTTTCCTAATGTAACTGAATGACCTCCGTCTTCATTCTTTCACCTTGTTCCAACATGCCTTCCATTCATAACTCAGAACAAAAGTCTATTATTACGGACGTCTAACTTCAACCTTTACCCTAATAACAATAATTGTATTTTAAAATAGACTTTACCGATCAGAGAGAGGAGCGCCGAGGTTTTACTGTTCCCCATTTCAGAGTTGCAGGATGAGCCGGTCCGAACCACGGAGACACTTTCAGCTCGTCCAGGTGAGTATTAACAGGTGTGTGCTGTGCCTCTTCTGACAGACAATCACTGAAAGAAACCAGTGGGCTCAGTCATGTGGTGGGTGTGGTGTGAGACTTGAATCATTTCACTCCTCGGAGGGTCAAAAAGACGGAGCAACGCAAGCCCGTCTCCAAAATAAAGACTGTTGAAGAGGTTTAGCAATGCTTTCTCACTGATTTTTTATTTTTTTAACTTTAAAGTCTTTAGTCTACTTTCATTTTATATTACCAGTAAACAGTGGTAGAGAAAGTAGATTGTATTTATGAAGTCATTTGGCAACAAAAAGTTCAATTTAAATCAGAATTTCGTCTAAATCAAACAGTAAAAATGTTTTTGATACAAAAAGTTCCAATAAAGCTGCTGAGCCCAAAACGAAACATGCACATTCTTTTATGTTCATATTAAATAATCAAGTTTATATAACTGGAAATTGTGTAATAACTATTAAATATACTTCAAGGTCCAATGTTAAAGATATTTTTATTTAAGGCATTGCAGACAATGAAATCAAACAAAACAAAAGATTCTCCTGACCTATATCGATCAGAGTAGTTTGTCAAATCCAGAATTGAATTCAAAATCTTACTTCTAACCTACAAAGCCCTCAACAACCTAGCTCAAGCTATATTATATATCTTATTGCTCCATATTTTCCTAACAGAGCACTTCCCTCACAGACTGCAGGTTTACTTGTGGTTCCTAGAGTTTCCAAAAGCAGAATGGGAGGAAGATCTTTCAGTTATCAGGCTCCTCTCTTGTGGAACCAACTTCCAGTTTCTGTCCATGAGGCTGACACCTTGTCCAGTTTTAAGACTGGGCTTAAGACTTTCCTTTTTGTTAAATCCTATAGTTAGGGTTGACTTGTTGTGCTGCTATAGATTTAGACTACTAGAGGACAAACTATCCTCATTTCCTTAAATGAATTGCTAAAATTGAATAGTTTTCATTTGATATTATTTCTATCTTAACATGTGATTCTTGACCTGCCATTGTGTATCTGTTCCTCTCAGACCCAGCCAGTCAAAGCAGATGACCGCTTGTCCTGAGACTGGTTCTGCTAAAGGTTTCTTCCCCATGAGGGACATATATGTATATATATATATATATATATATACTGTATATGAATGTTTATGGTCAATGCCCTGAGATGACTTCTGTTGTAACTTGGCTCTTTATAAATAAACTGAATTGCATTAAATTGAATAGTTTGGAAGCATTTGCTCCTGGAGTTTTCCACATGAAGTGATATAAAATTCTGAAATGCAGGTATGCACTCAGTGTAAACAAAGCACTCAGCAGAATCTGCCGACAAACAGGACTATATTAGGTGGAAAAATATTGAGTGGAGTTAGTTTCTTATGTAATTTTGTTGTTGATTGTATCCGTCTTTGTGACATACAGAAAGAATGTTTAAAGTAGAAAGTGGGAAAAAAACACCCCATATTTCACCCTCCACTTCAACGTAAAAGCATCACCATGTTTGCGGTTATGATTCATTGCTTGAATTGTGCATGAAACTACGTTGCCCCTTCACACAGTCATGTAAAAACTTTTTTTTAACCAGGAAATCTGCAGTTTAACTCACATCAAAGCTCTGCAAACACGGTCCCCAGGGCTCACTGTCCTGACTGTTCCAGAGGTCTCCCTGCTCCAGTACACCCGATTCAGATGAATAATTCATTACCAGGCTTCTGCAGAATGTGATGACATCATGGGAAGATTGTCTTTTTTATGCTGGTGAAGATTCTCAGATTGTTTTTTTTATCATTTGTATCAGTCGTGCTGCAGCGGAAAAGACTTGTGAGTCCCACAGGGCCACAAGTCTTTTTCCCAGACGAGCAGACGTCATCGTGGAGGTTGAATCAGAATGTGCATTTAGAGAAAACACAAAGTAAGTTGACCCTGAGTTAAATGAAAGTCAGGAGTTTTTTTTTTTTTTTTTCATTCCCCAAGTAAATGAAACTCAGTTTTTGTTACCATGGTAACAGACTGTTAAGTAAACCTGCTTGTCAACAGATTTACTGCCACTGAAGCAACTTACTCACGTCTAACATTACTTATTTGTGTCAGTAGTATTGTACAAACACACTTATATGAAAAAACACATCAGACATGCCCTTCAATCAGAACAAAGTTGCCATTTTGGCACGAACAGTTTTCAACCAGAACCCAGTGTACTGGTTTCTGCTGGCAGCAGACAAAGGTAAAAAGGTGCCAGGTTTATATAAAACTTAAAGGAGAGGAGTACATATAGGTAATCCAGGTGATTTTCTTGTTTTCCAATGAAAAAGTGTTTCTTATTTGACAAATGTTTCTTCCAGGCTCAAAGAGCAACTGTTGGACTCTGGTTCTGTGCTCAGGGGACAGTGTCCAGGTATAAAGGAAGGCAGGTGATGTTTGTTGGAGAGCAGACTGGGAGTGGAAGACTGAATCAATGTAACCTGGTTTGTTCCTTTGTTGCAGGAGAAGCTGATTTTGAGAGGATTTCCAGAAGGTAACGCAGAGACAGGTGATGAACACTCAAGTATCTCTGTGGAGTATAAGGTAAGGTTAAATCTCTTAATTCTCAAGAAATGCACAAGGGTTTGGTAGTCTATAACCATTTGGTAGCTAATGGTCCTACGAAGAACAGTGGAATTACTCAGCCATGTGATGATTGGTAATCAGCTGTCACTGGAGAACTGTTACTACTCACAGCACCTGCGGGTACAAAAAGGACAGAGAGAGCCAAAAACACATAACACTAACAGAACTCTGCACCATGCTGAAATATTGTTGTCCAAAAATAATTAGATGAATAAAATATCTCTAGAGCTCGTGTATGTCTCCAGGAATGGATATGACCAGGGACTCTTCGTTGCCTGCTGCCCAGCATGTGTTGCACAGGTGGATTGACAGATCGGGGTCTCGTTCTTAGTAATGAACGCTGCTTCGGTCAGTTTTGTGATGAAAGAGTTGAGTCGAAAGGCAAAGCTCTCGATTAACTGGTCTGTCTACCTTCTAACCCTAGCCTATGATCATGAGGCTTTGATCACGACCAAAAGAACTATATTCTGGACACATGCAGCTGAAATGAGGTTCCTTCAAGGAGTGTTCAGGCTCAGCCTAGGAGAGGGTGAGGAGCTCCATTATCCAGGGGGAGTTCAGAGTAGAACCACTTCTCCTACATATCGAAGAATCAGTTGCGGTGGTTTGTGCATGTGATCAGGATTTGTCCTGGATGCCTCCGTTTGGAGTCTTTCTGAGCATGTCCCATTGGTAAGAGGCCCAAGGGAAGACTTCGAACTAGCTAGAGGGATTGTGTATCTTCTCTGGCCTGGGGACGTCTTGGGGTCGTCCAGATTGAGCTGGGTGTTGATGAGCCTGAAGATCACAAACATCCAGTCAGCCTTGCCCACCGAGCTCAGGATGTCTCCAGATTCTTGAAATATTTTGATATTTTGAACTATACATGATGTGATATCCAAAGTCTTCACAATTCTTATAACTCCTTCACAATAACCATGATGTTACACTTCAGTGCCATAGTGTTACACAAGGATTAATGTCAGCCAGATTGATTTTCACTTATGATTCTGTTAAAATATATATATATATATATCCAAAAACTAATGGTAAAAGCAAATCATAAAAACCTAAACCTTTTGCAAGTATTGATTTAAATATAATTTTTTATCATGTTAAAATGTGAGCACATTAGTACGTGAAGGCTGGAGGCCCCCCTGGCAGTCAATAAAATGTATTTTTTTTTATGTATTGTATTTTATTAGAGAACATATTTTTATCTGAAGCTCTATGGTTTTAATGTTGATTCTACTTTTATGAGAATGTTTTATTCATATTTTATTGAGTCCCTTTTAACTTTCACCTTCATCTGTTGGTTTGAACTTCTGACATGTAAAAATAGGAACAAACTCTCGGGGATTGTCAGGATGTGCAGAAAAACTGCTGGCATAGTCCTACAGAACCTCACTGACCTGCACAAGGCGAGGTCAGTGAACAAAGCCAGGCTGATTCTGGCAGATCCTGTTCACCCACTCCATGGTGAGTTCAGGTTGCTTCCATCTGGATGCAGGTATCTGCTGCCCAGATGTAGAACGAAGACTGAAAAACTCATTCATCCCTGTAGTGATCAGACTTCTCAACAAACAGTGATGATTTCTCGTCTGTTATTTTAATGTCTTAATGTTTTTGTCTAGTATGGATGTTTTGTGTGCCTACTGACTGTGAAACAAATCACCCCTTGGAGATAATAAGGATTTTTGAACTTGAATTTGAAAGATATTACGACTTCAAGTAAATATGATACAAAAATTCCGGTAACACTTTACAATAAGGTAGACAATATTTGCTTAACTACTAGGGAACGCCTAAGGAATAAATCAGGAGTTAATGAGTAGTTAACCAGTACTTACTGGGGAACACACAGTCAAGCCTTATTAGTGGATTACTGGTTAGTTACCTTGTAAATGAAGAGGAACTAATCAAGAACTAATGGGTAGTTACCAAGGAAACCAAAGAAGAATGGATCAGAAGCTAATCAGAGTCAGAGATTCTTTATTGTCGTTCGCACCGCATGTGGTGGAACAAAATTATGTACACAGGGTTCCAGTTACATCCAACAATACAAATGTAAAAGAAAAACAATGATAACATCTAAGGTATGAACTAAGAAAAACATCAACTAAAAATACACTCAGCACTTATAGCATAAAAACATTACGTCGAACAGCAGCACATACATGGGTAGTTAACCAGTACTTACTGGGGAACACAAAGCCAAGCCTTATTAGGGGACTACTGGTTTGTTACCACAGAAACAGAGGAGAGATTCTCAATGTGAGTTCTGAATAAACCCTGCACCAGTGAGGTCACAGCTCGTAATTGTCAAAAACCTGTTTCCTGGTGATTATTGATGTTATTAACCATTAGCTCCTGATTCGTTCCTCTTTAATTTCCTTGGTAACTACCCATTAGTTCTTGATTAGTTCCTCTTCATTTACAAGGTAACTAACCAGTTGTCCCCTATTAGGGCTGGGCTGTGTGTTCTCCAGTAAGTACTGGTTAACTACCTATTAACTCCTGATTTGTTCCTGAGGCGTTCTCTAGTAGTTAATCAAATTGTGTGTGCCTAACTGTGTTACCAAAATTCCAACTGAATGCAAAAGTTTTCAAATTTCACGTTTGTATTTTATTCTCAACGGGACGTAGTAAAATATGGGTATGTGAAGTTAGAAAGTTATCTCACTCTGTTTTTAATTTAACTTACACGTCCCCGTTTTCTCAAACTGTTTTTGTTGTAGTTTTTGATAAGTAAAAATATCTTGTCTGCCACTAGGGGGTGCTACAGCCTTCAGGTAACATTCACATTTTTAACATAAAGATGAAAATATTGACATCAAATCTTGTGGGTTATTTTAGCTTATATCATTTGTTTGCGGACTAATAAGTTGTTTTTCTTTTATTCAAAAATAAATAAAAAGCAAATGGTCTCATACATTCTTAAACTGGACAGAAGTGTGACATCGTGGTAAATAATCCTCAAATGATAAGTGGAACCAAGTTCAGCCAACACAGGAATTGTTTTCAACAATTTTATTACAAAAAAATAATTTAAAAATAATTATAATTAAATCAGCATAACTTCACAAGAAATAATGTAAAGAAAGAACATACATCAGAGTGTTTGCAGCGTGTTTGTTTAAATCAAGGGTAAATAAAAATGGCAACAAAATAACTGAGCTGTGGATTGACACAATAAAGACAACGGTTTTTCCAGTGAGTAATTTTGTCTGAAATGGCGGCGACGATAAATATAACGAGGAGGAATGAGGATTTGAAGCTGGTCATACAGAAGTCTCAGATGAGGCAAGTTTTATATGAGGTGTTGATTTCCTGCACCTGAAAGACAACAAATACTTTTATTACTTGAAATGTTAATAAATCTGTTGCACAATATCAAAGATACATTGTAAAAGTACAAAATACATATGATTGACTATAACTCTTGATACGTCATTCTTTCTTATAAGTTCAATAAAATAAACTATAAACCCACCTCCTGTAGGCAAAGAGGAAGATGAGCAGGCCCAAAAAGAAGACGACCATGATGACGCCAAAGACGATGGCGATCACTTGGTCTGTGTTGAAGGAGGCAGAAATGTAACTGCTGTAGGTCTCGCAGCGTTTCCCGGTGTACGTTTCTTTGCAGCTGCAGGATCAGAGAAACATCTGAGCACATTCCACACAAAAACATCACGTGCAAGAGGAACGCTGGCGCTGATCGTATCTGAAGCTTACATGCAGGAAGGATTGCTGCTGCTGCTGTCTTGAGGGTACACACACTCCCCATCGTGGAGGCAGAAATTTGAATGTTCCCTTCCACAAGGTCTGCGTACAAGCTGGACTTTAGGCGTCACTGCGCTGCCTGCGGCGAAAGAGAAATATTAAGCACTCAACTTATTCAAAAACTGTTTCTTTGCTAGTTGATGTAAATCGCAAATAAAATGGATGACGTGAACAGAATTACAAACGTAAAACCCCTTTTTTGGCTGACAACTTTAAAATCCATGTCTCAACATGTGAAACCTACATTGTACCATTCATTTATTATAACTACATGTGGTTTTGCAAATAAAATACCAATTAAACTGTTTTCTTTGCAGTGTTTTGAAGGTAAAAATGGTATGATACTGTGCACTCAATAAGAGAAACTGTCAACTTCTAAATCAGCATTATTTCCAGAGCTCTACATTAGCCCGTGTTTACCGTATTTTTCGGACTATAAGGCGCATTAAGCGAAACAAAACGGTCAGATAAGTCAAACTTTATTCAACGCATTCACAGTGAAATCGGTCTGAGGTCAGTAAGCACAACCAGAATTAATACACCTGATTATAAGGCTCACAGTCAATTTTTGAGAAAATTAAAGGATTTTAAGCGCCTTATAGTCCAAAAAATACAGTATTCCAAAGAAATTCAATGTGAAGACACTTACTCTTGATTAGAAGCGTAATTAGAGATGAATTTGAGTGAGGAGTTGGACTGGTTGGAGAGGTTTTAACCAAATCTGCAGACTGTCCTGCTGCGGTCAGCACCATCAGAACCATCACTGCCAAGAGGAACTCTGGGAAGAAAAATTGAAGAGAAATTATTTCTAGTCTTACATTAGGAGTTGTTTTGTTTTCTTTCTTGTGGGTATTTGTGATGAAAAGCTAAAGTTTAGTCATAAAGACTAGTTTTAATTTTACTTTTATGCACCAAAACCTTTCAGATAGCTGATGTTAAACTAACATCCTAGAAATTACAAAATAAAAATCTTTATTAATGCAGTAAAGGCACAAGCCACGTAACAGAGACTCACTTCTCTCCAGGTGTGTCCGCCTGTGTGTCATTTCGTTTTGTCGTTTTCTGCTTGTCGCCTTCTGCCAAGTCAGGTTTTCACTCTGAGCTTATATAACAAGCTCCAACGTCTGGAAGGATTTCCACAGCCAATCACGTTTTCCAAAATAAAAAAAATCGGTTAAAACAATTTGAATATTTCGTCACGTAGGAAAAATCTAAGGGTGGTGGTGCGGAGGTTCTCTGGATCAATTCACGCAGGCCCAAGGACCAATGAGAACTTTAAACATCATGTTTTACTTTCAACAGGTGTGAACACCTCGGTGTGCGCGGTCACAAAGGGAAAACTTTTCATTTCTGTGGAACAAGTCAAGACAGGATGTCTAGGAGGAAGGAAATTCAGGTGACAGGTGACTCGCCGTACCAGATGAGCGTACGTTAGTAATAATAATAATAATAAACTTTATTTCTATAGCACCTTCCAACAACGCCTTGCATTGACCAAGGTGCTTCACAAGACAAAACAAGATTAAAAACAGGACACAATAAATCAGTGCAAATTAAAAACACAGCGAGAATAAAAGAAGGTAAAAGCGATCAAATAAATAAATAAATACTAAACTACTAATAGTTAAACATTAAAAGCCCTTTTAAATAAGTATGTTTTCAGTTTGGCTTTGAACAGAACCAGATCAGAGATGGCACGCAGCTCATAGGGAAGAGTATTCCAGGCTGTTGGGCCTGCAACAGAAAAGGACCGGTCCCCCCCATTGTTTGCACCTTGAGCAAGGCACCACCAGCAGATTTTGACCAGCAGACCGTAAAGCTCTGCTGGGCTGGTGGACTTTCAAAAGTTCTGAAATATAAGGTGGTGCAAGGCCGTTCAAAGCTTTAAAAACAAACAGTTGCAGCTTGAACTGTAGCCTAAACTGAACCGGGAGCCAGTGTAAAGAAGAAAGGACAGGAGTGATATGTTCATATTTACGTGTGTTAGTCAACAGGCGAGCAGCAGAGTTTTGTACAAGCTGTAAACGGGAGATAGAAGACTGATTAATACCGACATATAAGGCGTTACAGTAATCAAGCCTAGAGCTCACAAAGGCATGGATGGCCTTCTCCAGATCACTACGGCTAAGGAGTGATTTTACTTTGGAAAGCAGACGGAGCTGAAAGAAGCTAGTTTTCACATCAGAACTGATCTGTTTGTCTAACTTTAAGTTAAAGTCAAGCTCCACTCCTAGATTTTTTACCACCTGGTTGGCGTGGGGGAGCGGAAAACCTAGACTGGGAGAGATGTTGCATGAATTACTGGAAGCACCAAATAAAATCCATTCAGTTTTATCGTTATTGAGGTGGAGAAAATTCTGAGACAGCCAGTGCTTAATGTCGTTTAAGCAGCTGGCAACAGAGTTTAAACTGAGTGAGGAACTGGGAGTGACCGGCAGATAGATTTGTAGATCATCTGCATACAGATGAAAAGACAGATTATGGCGTGCAATGATGGGTCCTAATGGTAGCATGTAAAGTGAGAAGAGAACAGGCCCCAGAATGGATCCCTGCGGTACGCCAGAGGTCAAAGAGATTGAAGAAGAGGACAGATCACCAATCATAACAGAGAAAGTTCTGTCTGTTAAATAGGACTTAAACCACTCGAGCACAACTCCCTGAAGGCCAACCTGCTGAGCCAAACGAGTGATCAGGACCTGATGGTCTACAGTATCAAAAGCTGCTGAGAGGTCCAACATCACCAGCAGAACAGGTTTTTTGGCATCAAGGGACAAAAGAATATCATTCTGTACTTTGAGTAGTGCAGATTCAGTGCTATGATGTGGTCTGAAGCCAGATTGAAATTTTTCAAACAAGTTGTTGTTCTAAAAAAGATTGCAAATGAATGAAAACAACCTTTTCCAGAACTTTGGATAAAAATGACAAGTGTGAAATTGGCCTAAAATTAGAAAAAGCTGTAGGATCTAAACCCGTTTTTTTAAGAAGAGGCCTCACCACAGCATGTTTGAAAACAGACGGGACATAACCTGAACTTAGACAGCCATTAATAAATGTCAGAAGACAAGGACCAACAACATCCAAGGACTGCTTGAACATCTTAGAGGGAATGATGTCCAGGGTACAGTTTGTAGGTTTCATCTGCTGAACCACCTTAACGAGGTGAGGTAGTGAGACCAGGTCGAACTGATAGGACTGATCCAAGTTAGGACTTGTAGCACTTTACAATAAGGCTCCCCTTATAGATGGCTAGATTCCTCTATAAACACTTTATAAATCATTAATAACTGCTTATTATGCATTAATTAACGGTGACAGAGACAAAACTTACCAATTTCTTGCCCAATAGTGAGCCAGAGCTGCTATATATTTCATCTAGAGTTGTCTTATTCATTTCAGACTAACTTACTACCTTGTAAGCACAATACACATTTGTAAACCTATTTCTTTAGCATATAATATTGTACTTTATCACTGCATTATAAGTATCTATTGGTACAACTAATATTATATCCTAAAATAATTGGGTTTACAAATGCTTTATTGTGCTTACAAGGTAATAATTTAGTGTGAAATGTTTAATATAACAACTCTAGATGCTATAGGACAGATTTGTCTCATTATTTGGCAAAAAAACTGGTTTTGTCTCTCTGTTACTTTTAATTAATGCATAATAAACAATTATTAATGATTTATAATAGAGGAATTAATAATATATCTATAAACTATTTATTAGCTATCTATAAGGGGAGCCTTATTGTAAAGTTGTACCCTTGTTTGTAATCATCAAATGACCTAAATCCATCTGTAGTGTGACTTTATGTTGTTAGCTACATTATCAGCAAACACTCTTCAGTCTTATTATTCCAATGATGATATTATGGAAAACATGCAACAGAACTTGTACAAAAAAAATCTTCATTTGACCAGATGTTTCTCCTGATTAAAACTTCTTGACTTTAACGATTTATTTGAAGTTGCTTTATATTTGAGGATAGTGGGGAACGGATGGTGATCGGACAAGAACCACTTCTGGACGTTGAATTTATGTCAATATTTATTGAGCACCTAGCCCAGGGGTCTGCAAGCTTTATGATCCAAAGAGCCATTTTTACACCTTCATTCACTAAATTAAACGTGTCCGGAGCCGCAACAACCTGCTACAACTGTGATTATCAACTGGTGGCCCATGGGCCACTTCAGGTTTGGCAGAGGAGACTTTTGTGGCCAGTAGGGGTGACATTATAAATAAAAAAATCTAATGATTTGTTTATATTTATTGATATTTTTACAATTTAAGATTAATAAAAAGACCAGATTATTGTAAAGAGGTTATTTTTTTTTATTTTATTTATTTAAAAAACAACAACTATGAACTGCAAAATTATGTGATTTTTTTTATTGTGGGCAAAATAATTAAAGCAAAAAGTTAAAATATTTGCAAAAGAAATGAAAACTGCTAAAACTAGTTTTTTTTTTTTTGTTTGTTTTGTTTTGTTTGTATAACAACCAATAAAATTAAATTTTATGTTAGTTTTGGAAAGAGCCTCTGCAGAGGGACCAAAGAGCCACAGGTTGCAGACCCCTGATAGTCTGGTCTATGCTTCCACTCTGTTTGGTAACATTTTGGCAGCACGATGGTTCAGTGGTTAGCACGGTTGCCTCACAACAAGAAGATCCTAGGGTCAATCCCCGGTTGGATTGTGGGTCTTTCTGTGATGAGTTTGCATGTTCTTCTTGTGCTTGCAAGGGTTTTCTCTGTTTTTCAATTGCCAAGTGTCATATTCTGTCCCTTTTGTGATTTAAATTCTTCAGTCATCCAAGTATTCTTTTCAAGGTTGGTTTTTATGTTTGTCCTTTGGGTTTAGTTGCGTTTTCCTGGTCAGGGGTTTACCAGTCTGAGAAACTTTGTCTCTACATAGCGGAACCATTTCTGAATATTGTTTATTAAACCATTGGGAACATTTTGAATCATCTATAGTTTATAATATCAAAAGATTTCAAGAATCTGTAGAAATCTCTGAGCTCGAAGGACAAGGCTGAAAGTGAATATCGAGTGGCCGTGATGAGGCAGCGCTGCATTAAAAACTGGTCTGATTCTGTTATGAAAATCTCTGCATGGGCTCAGGAACACTTCTACTAATCACTGTAAACAGTTCACTGTGCCATCAGCAAATGCTGGTTAAAGCTCTATCATGCAAAGAAGCAGCTATGTGAACACCACACAGAAACGCCATTGTCTTCTCTTGGTCAACTTGTTTAAAACGATTAAGACAAACTGGACAACTGTTTTGTGGACAGATGAATTCAACATTAAAATTATTTTTAGAAACAACAGGCCCCAGGTCTTCCGTACCAAAGAGGAGAGGGACCATTCGGCTGATTATTAGCACGCAGTTCAAATGTGTGCCTCTCTGATGGTATAGGGGTGCATCATTGCCTCTGGCATGGGCAGCTTACACAGTTAGAAAGGTACCATCACTGAGAATATAGACAACATATACAAATGTTATAACATCTCTTCCCATCTAGGATGAACTTAGCTGCCTGACGTCCAGACCTGTCACTGTTCGAAAACATTTCACAGATGAAACGAAGATTCAAGCAAAGATCCGGGTCTCCTGAACAACTAGAATCCTACATTAGACCGGAATGGGACAACCTGGGCCTCCAAAAACCTCCAGCAGCTGGTCTCCGCAGGTCCTGGATGTTTACAGACTGGTTAAAAGAAGAGGGGATGCTTCACAGTGAGAAACATGGATGTGTTCCAACATTTTAATCAATTTCTTCATTTCAACATTGATACATTTACCACGTTCCACTGTCGAATTATAGGTCGGTGAGATTCACTGATCGTTTCACTCAGTTTTTAATTAACCATCACACATCTACTTTTTCAGAATTGGGGTTTCATGTAGAAATTGAAAGATTTGACAGAATTAAACAAGCATTTGTTAAGGAATGCATGTTGCCCACCGCCTTACATGTTTTGATCTTTTAGCGCTCACACCATCATGTTTATGACCTTTAGGCCGTAGCACTTCAAATTTTATCTCAGCTCTCTAAAATTGACTGTTATTCTCCTATTTATGTTTGATAAGGATTTGCAGCGGTGGAGGCCATCCCTAATCAAGTTAAACTCAAAAAGAACTGAATTCTAAATGTACATCAAATAACAGCTTTAAAATTTCAAACATATGCTCTCAATCATTTGCTAACAGACTAACCGTTGCAGCCATGAACAGACACAAACAACATGATTGCCCATCTTTCAAGGCAGTTGTCAATAAATATAAATTGTGACATTGGCACAGCTTTATCTTTATTATGATTTATACAGATTTTCTGGATTGATTTCCCAACAACCAAACCACTTTAGTAGAAAAAAATAGTAATTTCAAATGCTAAAAAACATAATCTGAAATAAATAACTTCATTAAATTACTTTTGATATAAACACAGTAAGTGCGGCACGGTGGATCAGTTGGTAGAGCTGTTGCCTCTCAGCAAGAAGGTTGCCGGATCGATTCCCAACTGGAGACCTTTCTGGGTGGAGTTTGCATGTTGTCTCCGTGCATGTGTGGGTTTCCTCCGGGTACTCCAGTTTCCTCCCACAGACCAAAAACATGCATGTTAGACCGATTGTTACTCTAAATTGTCCCTAGGTGTGAGTGAGAGAGTGAATGGTTGTTTGTCTCCATGTGTCCCTGTGATGGACCGGAGACCTGTCCAGGGTGTCCCCCGCCTCTTGCACAGTGACTGCTGGATATGGGCACCAGTTATCCCCGTGACCCGAAAAGGAAGAAGCGGGTAAAGATAATGGATGGACGGATAAACACAGAACATATTGAGTAGGTTTCCCCCGCAGGCATTAATCTTTTGGACTCATAAATGTTGATTTAAGATGTTTAGCAAAAATATCTGTGTTGTTGTGTTGGTACAGACATAAATGTATGCATTTACATGTCTGTATGTCTTTTTTTAACGCTGTCTATATAAAATGGAGAGTATTTAATGCATCAGTGCGATTCGGGCAGCAGTCACAGTGTTTTTCATTAGCATGGCTACAGTCATCGGACCCACACCTCCAGGAACAGGAGTGATGAAACCTGCTTTCTCTTTTACTCCTGTAAACAAATCAGAAATATGACTCAGAGTAAAGACATGTTCATCGTTTGCCAAGAGATGCAGCTGATTTAAAGAAATATAGATTTCTGCAGAGCAACAAATCCAGACAGAAGAGCCCCAAGTTTACCTATTAGCAGTTTCAAATGAACTAAGATGAAATTTGTTTTTCTGAAGCAATCCTAATTTTTTTTTTTATTTACCTTCAAAGTCTACATCACCGACAAGCTGGACCTTTCCCGTGTTTTGGTTCTTGATGCGATTTATGCCAACGTCGATGACTGCTGCACCCTCTTTCACCATATCTGCTGTGATCAGTCCAGGAACGCCTTCACACAGAAACCAGGAATGCAGATTAAAAAAAAATGTTTGACTGAAAAAACATAAAATGTCTTTAGATTGTTACTATTTTTATCTTATCTTAGTTTTTACAGAAGAACTCTGAACAAAAACTCAAAACAAAGTGTAGAAAAACAGTTGCATTCCTTTCTTGTTGTTTGGTTAGAAGATATTTCGTAACCACCATGACACAAGTCACAAAAAAAAAGATGTTTTTGCTCTCTCTGCAGTGATGCTTATCAGCTTTCACAGTTACTAAAGAAATTCGCCCGGGACCTAAAAGCCAGCGGTTTCAAACCGCCGAGTATGAATAAAAATGGTGGCATTTTAAAAACATACAGTAGCACAAAAAAATAAAGAATTTTGTATTTGATTGATTTATTTTTGTTGTAACAATATTTCTTGGATATGCTGGATATTGGCACCAGTGCCCACCATGAACCAAAAAAAAAAAAAGTGGGTAAAAGATAATGGACGGATAAATGGATGGATAAATTTATACCACTAGAAAACATGTTTATGTTGCCATTCAATGGAGCCATATTTTTTTTAAATATGTATTTGTGGGTTGAACAGTTAAGTATATGGTTTACATCCATTAAAAAAAAACTTGCCCATCTTCTCGGGCAATGCTGAACTGTTTGTTTGTATGCTGAACCGGGCTGTCCGGTCCCTATACAAGCGGTGCGAGAGTTTGGTTTGCATTGCCGGTAGTTAGTCGGACCCTTCAGGGTGGTTTCTTAACATAACTTTGGTGTGCCTTTCATCTTCATCTGTCTCCTACTCATCCTCTGTAGCTGCTGCTGGTTCCAGGAGAGCAGAACGCTGCTTCCCCGGCTGCCTGCTGTAGCTCTTTTTTCTTTTCTTGGCTTTATGCTGCAATTGGTAAATGAACTAAATCAATGCTCTGCTGCTGTGTCTGATAACAAAAGCTTCATGGCGCTGGGTGAGACTTTCTTCACAGAGGAGACAAAATTGATGCTAGTGAAGTTAGAACTTTGGCGTCTGAGCTTTAGGAGTCAAATCCACTTGTTTTGTTTGTTTCATGCTGGTTTGCTGTCACCAAGGCTCTGCTGGGCAGGAGGAGCGGTGCTGCTGCAGCATCACACCTCTACTTCATTCACGTTGAGAGTGATACGGCATGGTAGTGCTGCGGGCACATGTGTGTGTGTGTGTGCTGCCATGAGCCACATACTGTACAGTGTAGACAAAAAAAGTTAAAAAGGGGCATTTTCTTGGTCCAGAAGGTAAATGGCAGGAACTCTAGCACCACCTGAAGATTCTCTGTACACATCCCAGATGAACAGTGTAAGTGATACTCCGTGTAGTGATGATGTAAATGTGTATCGAGTTTTATTAAATTACCTTGAGCAGATCAGAAGTTACGGCCGGGACAAACAAAAGTTTATGGATGGATGGAGACTATACCATACAACACCTGCATGTCTACGGGTATATAAAAATATTTAACAAACGATATTTAATTTAAATATCTATGGAGCAGGATTTTGTTACAAAGAGAGTCATTTTTCTCTTGATAAAAGATCAACCCGACACTACCGTCATGTTGCAACGCAGTTTATCACAGAGACAATTGTTTCACATTCCAGCTCCTTCAAACAACCGCTGTTCAGCAAGAAACGCTACCCGTATAAATCAAAACCGGGAGTCAGGCAAGGTCACTGAAACTTGCATGGAAATGTCCACCATGACTGTGCAGATTCCAAGAAGATCTCTTCAAGTAAAGAGCTGCAGTTTCCTTTTCGCAACATCTCCTCCTTCTACCGAACTCTTCACTATCTCTTACCTTATCAATTGTAACAGTGTAAAAAGTAAAAGAAACAAACGTTTGGAATACACTACAATAGTTACAAGAAATATAAAAGAAAAAAAAAACCTTTCTGGTCTCCTTTAAAGTAAAACATAAAAAAAACAGATTTAACAGCACTATTTGAAACTATTAACAGCTGTAGTTAAAACAGAATGCTTTATCATTTGTAATAAAGCTACAAGTTTGGTCTAATGCGCTTTTGTTGTATTTAGATAATGTTTTCATAATTACCTGCAGCTGCAATAACGATGTCAGCCAGGTTCGTTAGCTCTTTCAGCTGTTCCCTTGGTGTACACCTGTGTGCGATGGTCACTGTGGCATCACCTGAAAAATAAAAAAAAAACAGCAGATTTTGATGTATTTTTGTTGATTTATGTGAGTTTGTTATTCCTGCCAAATAAAACTTATTTTTCGCAGACAAGTGACATCTGTACACTGCTTCTGTGGATCCCAAAACCTCCTTCTTTCCCATTAACGGAAAGACCCTACAGATGTATGCAGCTGAGTATGTCATGGACAAGACGTGTATGAACTGGATTTATGATAACAGGGTTTCTGCTTTTTGGAATCGGTCTATACCTAGGATATCAACAAATTAGCAAGATGTCGGTAGCAGTTTCAATCATGGTAAAGCTGCCAACCTCATGTGACAGATTAATTTGTGCTTCGAGCTCTCAAACTCATATGCTTTGCGAGCTCCCTGGAACTCGCTGGCATGATGGATTCGACCATGGAGAAAAGCAAACAGAGCACGGACCGGCGAAATGTCCACAAATTTGGCTGTCTGGATGCGCCATCGAGAGTTCCAGCAGAACTGAAGGCAGACAGGAACCAGAGTGTGCCTGCCCAAACAATTGTTGTTTATCTGAATCTGATCTCCTTGCTTGGCCTTGGAAGGCCAACTTATCTCAAATTGCTCCTGGTGGATATGTAAATAAAGAAGCTCTGCTCTGTCCACTCCCAGCACCCCCACCCCACCCCGAGAACTTATGTGAATGCTTATCAAAGTTGTACCAGCTGAGAGACACTGTAACATCTTATCAGGACTATGGAAACTATCTGGAAGTGCTCATGGACAAATCTCACCGTCTTGACGTCCATGCATATGTACTGTGTCTATCTATGTTGCTGTGGTAGTTTTTTTTATACCTTAAACCATGCCCAGACAAGGACATGGTGTGAGAGATCTTTTTTTTAAATACCTCTCTCTCCTTACGTGTCTTCCCTTTTTCTATCTACGCAATAAGGGCAGTGCTTCCTAGAAGCTGCAGCCCCTGTACACTTTCCTCCATCTTTCGGATGATTGTACGGAACGTAATTTCACTGTACTTAACTGTGCAATGACAATAAAGCTTATTTTGATTCTGATTAAGCAAGTAGCAGTGTGAACTAGTCTGCCCTACAGACTGTAGTAGTGGAGCCATGGTGTGCCTCTAAAATTCCAACTTTCAGTGTTTTTATATGTGCAGCTTTCTAAAAGTGACACTGTAGGAGAACCAGACTGAGAAGTGCAGCAACAATTAGTCTTAAGATGAAATGATCCAGTACCGAACGTCTAGCAAAACAAAACTTGTGAATAAAACTATATTATGCAAGTACACCCAAAACTTCACCATAATCCTTCTAAAATATGTATTTTCCATATGAACATACAACGTCATTATATAAAATGAAATTACACCTAAAATAAAAAGAAAGTCTGTGATTTATTGAAACTGCACACTAAATATCAACAGGAAACATGCTCCGTCGTTCCTTCACTGAGTGAGGTCATAACGCTGTGAAACCGGATGAAAAGGATCCAATAAAGTCTCGTTACAGACGATAAGACAAGGGAGGGCGAGTCGGAACACATCAAACCTGAGGGCTGCATACCTCATGAAACATGTCTGTGTGACAAGGATTTGTGGTGACAAATAGGTTTTTGAAAATATATTCTGTGGGAATTTGACATTTCTGTGTCATGAATATATATATATATATATATATATATATATATATATATAACATCAGTTTTGCTCAGTTTTATCATTATCTCTAAAAGTGGAGAGGTTGTTTTTGTCTGAGGCTGCCTGTTAGCAAAATATCTAATTAACAATTGGACAAATTTTGTTAAAATTTTTGTTATTTATTGGGTTTACATCTACAACTAACTAATTTTTAGTCAACCAGTTTGAAGAGGTTCACCCCGACGGAGCCATCATAAACACAAAAATAACTAACTCAGTCTGCTTTCCAATGTTTTGACTAAAATTAGATGTCATTCACAACACATGTTCTGAGCGTGACCTCTCCCAAACATGTTATTTTCAAGGTCTGATCAAAATGGCTAGAATTCGACATTTCTCAAAATAAGACGATCTTCATCTAAAACTCTGGTGTAAATGACGGAGGGTGATATGCATTCCTTCAATAAATGCCAGGCCTCTTATTACAACTCTGTTAGCTCACAGTTCGACATCATGCCTCAGTTTTCAACACTAGAAATGTTTCAGAACATCTGTGCACACCCAACTCAAAACTGTATTCACTAGGAGGTTCCTGGCAACATACAAAAACAAAAGCTTACCAGTCACTAAACACTAACTAAGTTAGAATTATATTAAAAAAAACACACATCAGTAATTATATGCTATGGTAACTCTGGGGGACCTGCACAGATCCACAACCCAAGTGGAACAATCTGTCCACTATTAGTCGTGCACTCCACAAATATGGCCTTAATGGAAAAGTGGGGAATAAAAAGAAGCTGTAGTTGAAGGAAACTACACAACCACAAGCCATGTAGGTAACACAAACATGTAGAAAAAGGGGTTCTGGTCAGATGAAACTAAAATGGAAATCTCCAACTGTGGTGAAGAAATAATGCTGCACAGTACCCTGAACGCATCATCTTCACCGTGAAACAAGGTGGTGACGGCATCATGCTGTGGGGACGCTTTGCTTCAGCAGGGACAGGGAAACTTGTCGGAGTTGACTGAAAGATGGATGGAGCCAAATCTGGGGCAGTCCATGAAAAAAAAACCTGTTAGAGGCTGTAACAGACATGACTAAGGCTGAGGTTCACCTTCCTGCAGGACAAAGACCCAAAGCGTGAACATGGGTTTGACAGATGAATTAGCGCAGCTTTCTCATTATTGCATACTCTGTGCCGGTCCGCTGTGGTGAAAGGGGAGCTGAGATGTAAGGCGAAGGTCTCCATTTACCAGGCAGTCTACGTTCCTACCCTCACTCATGGTTATGAACTTTGGGTAGTGACCAAAAGAACAAGATCACAAACAACAACACTGAAGAATGAGTCTGTTCCAAAGTTGATGCCATTTACTTTTATCCCAAAGTGACCTGATAGATGTCAAAAATGCCATATGTAAGTGTACATGATGTTGTAGGAGGCAAAACTAGCATCATTTGCCAGGTTATATCTCTAAATTGTAAGACTGCCTGCAAAATAACCTGCCTTTTTGACAGCAGTGAACAGCGTGATTAAAATATATATAGAACAATGCACAAGCAAAAATTTATATAAAAAAAAAACTTCTAAAGTTTATCTCACATGCTCAAAAGGAATACATGCATTCATGACAAGAATAAATGTCTAAGCGCCCACGCCGACTGTTGGGTGTTTCACCCGACAGCAGGAAAAACCAGAAAATGATGTTTAAACGTTCACAATGGAATTTTACCCACTGCTTCATTAGAACATGGTGACACGGCATAAACAAGTTCCTGTGGAGGTTAGGAGATACCAGAAACCAGCAATACTCAACGACAGCCCAATCCTAATCCTCCCATAACTGACAGCTAGCTGAATAAACCTGAAAATATTTCCCAGTTTATTGTGCGGAGTTTAATGGGCCGCAAAGACAAAGTCAGCCTGCATTCCTGAAACACTGTTGAATATTTATGTGTTTCACAACTCGGTCATTAGAACAGAGAGTAAACTTTTAGTATCCAATACACACCAGAACTAACAAATAAAACTGTTCTTTTTGGTTAAGATGCTCTTGATGCCTTGTTTCCATAGTTCTATACCCTCATTCAGAAAAAGACGTACCGGTACATAGATGTCTCCTGGCAACAGACTGACACTATTAAAATCTTTACCAGTAAAAAAAACATCAAAGCTACAATCTAAAGCTATAAATTAAAAGTTTAAAACTAGGTAGTTAAAAAAAAATCTTTGGCTGAACTTGAGTCAAACTTGTTGGCTTTTAAACAGCTAATGCAAGCCAAGACAGGAGATTTTATACACTTGTCTTCTCTTCTTCACTCTAGGCCAGATTTTCTTGGAAAAGGGAGGGATGATTTAATGGAGTTGACAAGCAAACTGGTTGAGACTCCACACTCTGTACTGTTTGGTTTCCCCAAAGAAGTACAATTCAAAGCTTTGACAAAACCCCTTAAAATAATGTTTTGTTGTGTATATTGATATGCAGCTTTGTGTGACATGTTTACACGTTTCCGTCTGATTAACACGTGGTCAGTATCAACTTTAATACATCCTATTGATGCATTCTTAATAACAGGTGGCAGGTAGCGATTTCACCACCTCCTCGTCACATGTCGCCTATACTGACTGATGAAATCAATGTTAAAAAATCCTTCTCGTTTTCCACAATCGCTGAATGTGGTATACACATCTAACAATTTTCCATAAATTATACAGACTTTTCATGACGTACTGGAGTCAACCTGTAAGCAAACGCTAAAGGTCATCCCCTCTTCCTCTTCCTCTTCCTCCTCCTCCTCCGCTTCTTAGACTGTACCTACTCCGGCCTCTCCTTCCTCACTGCTCCACTGCTCACTTGAAACAGAATATGAATCAACATTTGCTGATGGCTGTGAAGGACTATATGCAATAGTGAGCAGCTTGAATTGAACCAGTCCTTGTGGGGTCTGGGGGCACAGCACAAAATATGTCAATAAGCAGCAACATCTGCACATATTCAGTGTGATAAGACAGGAATCATTCATAGAAAGAGACAGGATTAATGAGATTAACTACCAGCCCTGAGAACTGATAACAAGATATCTGCTACTTTTTACCAGTACTTGAATAATCACACACTGGACTTCTGTGCTCGTCATGGATTGTCCATAACGAACACCATGTTCAAGCATAAGGGTGTCCATATGTGCTCCTGGCACCAGGACACCCTAGGCCGCAGTTCAATGATCGACTTTGTCGTCATCTCATCTGATCTGCGGCCACATGTCTTGGACACTCGGGTGAAGAGAGGGGCGGAGCTGTCTACTGATCACTACCTGGTGGTGAGTTGGCTCCGATGGTGGGGGAGGATGCCGGTCAGACCTGGCAGGCCCAAACATATTGTGAGGGTTTGCTGGGAACGTCTGGCAAAGTCTCCTGTGAGACGGAGCTTTAACTCCCACCTCCAGGAGAACTTCGAACATGTTCCGGGGGAGATGGGGGACATTGAGTCCGAGTGGGCCATGTTCCGTGCCTCTATTGTCGAGGCGGCTTACTGGAGTTGCGGCCGCAAGGTTGTCGGTGCCTGTCGCGGTGGCAACCCTGGAACCCGGTGGTGGACACCAGCGGTGAGGGATGCTGTCAGGCTGAAGAAGGAGTCCTATCTGGCCTTTTTGGCCTGTGGGACACCGGAAGCAGCTGATGGGTATCGGCAGTCCAAGCGACATGCGGCTCGGGTGGTCGTTGAGGCAAAAACTCGGGCATGGGAGGAGTTTGGAGAGGCCATGGAGAATGACTTCCACATGGCTTCGAGGCGATTCTGGTCCACCATCCGGCGTCTCATGGGGGGAAAGCGGTACACCACCAACACTGTTTATAGTGGGGGTGGTGTGCTGCTGACCTCAACTCGGGATGTCGTGGGTCGGTGGGCAAAATACTTTGAAGACCTCCTCAATCCCACTGGCACGTCTTCCACGGAGGAAGCGGAGCCTGGGGACTCTGGGTCGGGCCCTCCGATCTCTGGTGCTGAGGTCACCGAGGTGGTTAAAAAGCTCCTCGGTGGCAGGGCCCTGGGGGTGGATGAGATTCGCCCGGAGTTCCTTAAGGCTCTGGATGTTGTAGTGTTGTGTTGGCTTACGCGACTCTGCAATATTGCGTGGACATTGGGGGAAGTTCCCCTGGATTGGCAGACCGGGGTGGTGGTCCCCCTATTCAAAAAGGGGGACTGTAGAGTGTGTTCCAACTACAGGGGGAACACACTCTTAAGCCTCCCTGGTAAGGTCTATTCGGGGGTTCTGGAGTGGAGGGTCCGTCAGATGGTTGAACCTCGGATTCAGGAGGAGCAGTGTGGTTTTCGTCCTGGTCGTGGAACACTTGACCAGCTTTACACTCTCAGCAGGGTCCTGGAGGGTGCGTGGGAGTTTGCCCAACTGGTCTACATGTGCTTTGTGGATTTGGAGAAGGTGTTTGACCGAGTCCCTCGGGGAACCCTGTGGGGGGTACTCTGGGAGTATGGGGTACCGGGCCCTTTGATATGGGCTGTTAGGTCCCTGTATGACCGGTGTCAGAGCCTTATCCGCATTGCCGGCAGGAAGTTGGGCTTGTTCCCAGTGAGAGTTGGACTCCGCCATGGTCGCCCTTTGTCACCGATTCTGTTCATAACTTTTATGGACAGAATTTCTAGGCGCAGCCAAGGTGTAGAGGGGATCTGTTTTGGTGGCCTTAGGATTGCATGTCTGCTTTTTGAAGATGATGTAGTCCTATTGGCTTCATCAGATTGTGATCTACAGCTTTCGCTGGAGCGGTTCACAGCCGAGTGCGACACGGCCGGGATGAGGATCAGTTCCTCCAAATCCGAGGCCATGGTCTTGAGCCGGAGAAGGGTAGAATGCCCTCTCCGGGTCAGGGAGGAGGTCCTGCCCCAAGTGGAAGAGTTCAAGTATCTTGGGGTCTTGTTCACGAATGAGGGAAAAATGGAACGTGAGATCGAAGGGCGGAAAGGTGCAGCATCTGCAGTGAAGCGGGCGCTGTACAGGTCTGTCGTGGTGAAGAGAGAGCTGAGTCAAAAGGCGAAGCTCTCAATTTACCGATCGATCTACGTTCCTACCCTCATCTATGGTCATGAGCTTTGGGTTGTGACCGAAAGAACGAGATCTCGGATACAAGCGGCCGAAATGAGTTTTCTCCGCAGGGTGTCTGGGCTTTCCCTTAGAGATAGGGTGAGAAGCTCGATCATCCGGGAGGGACTCAGAGTAGAGCCGCTGCTTCTCCACGTCGAGAGGAGTCAGTTGAGGTGGCTCGGGCATCTGTTTAGGATGCCTCATGGACGCCTCCCTGGTGAGGTGTTCCGGACACGTCCCACCAGGAGGAGACCCAGAGGAAGATCCAGGACACGCTGGAGGGACTATGTTTCTCGGCTGGCCTGGGAACGCCTCGGGATTCCCTCGGAGGAGCTGGCCCAAGTGGCTGGGGAGAGGGAAGTCTGGGCCTCCCTTCTTAAGCTGATAACCCCGCAACCCGACCCCAGATAAGCAGAAGAAAATGGATGGATGAATAATCACATTTTAATTTCACACATCATCAAGTACACACAGAAATAGAAAATACAACCTAAGCTATAGAGCTAATTTTGTTAAACATAACTTTGCTGAAGTTATTTGAATTTTGGTTTTACCCAGCACATTTTTATTTTTATTTTTTAGATTATGTCATTATATGAAGGAAATGTTTAATCATGCAGTTAATTGTCTGCTGTATGTGTAAAGAAAAAGACACAAATCAAATAAAAACCATCAGGGATCATTAAAGCAGATGTGATAACCAGATCTAAAAGCTACATTTAAAATATTTTATGTATGGGGGAAAATAAATGTTTACAAGAGCCAGAGGAATGGAGAAGAAGTGTGCTGGTGCCCATTTTTAAGAACAAGAACAGAGTTGTAGCAACTACAGGAGAATTAAATTAATGAGTCACACAAGATCTGGGAGAAAGTTGTGGAAGCTAGACTTAGACGAGAGGTGACTATTTGTGAGCAGCAGTATGTTTTCATGCCAAGAAAGAGCACCACAGATGTCTCTTTGCTTTGAGGATGCTGATGGAGAAGTACAGAGAGGGTCAAAAAGAATTCCATTGTGTCTTTGTGGATTTAGAAAAAGCATATGACAGAGTGCTGAGGGACGAGGTGTGGTATTGTATGAAGAAATCTGAAGTGGCAGAAAAGTATGTTAGACTGGTACAGGACATGTATGAAGACAGAAGAACAGTGATGAGATGTGCTGTAGGAGTGACAGATAGCTTCAAGGTGGAGGTGGGAGTGCATCAAGGATTAGCTTTGAGCCCCTTTTTGTTTGATCTGGTGATGGACCGACTAACTGATGAAGTCAGGCAGGAATCCCCATGGACTATGATGTTTGCAGATGACATTGTGATCTGTGGTGAGAACAGGAAACAGATGGAAGAGAACTTGGAGAGGTGGAGGCATGCACTTGAAAGAAGAGGAATGAAAGTTATTAAGACAGAGTACATGTGTGTGAATGAGAGGAAGGCCGGTGGAACAGTGAGGCTACAAGGAGCAGAGGGCACAAAGGTGCAGGACTTCAAGTACTTGAGGTCCACTATCCAGGAAAATAGGGAATGTGGTAAAGAAGTGAAAAAGAGAGTCCAGGCAGGATGGAGTGGATGGAGAAAAGTTTCAGGAGTGATTTGTGACAAAGGGTGTCAGCAAAGATCAAAGGAAAAGTTTACAAGACAGTGGTGAGACCAGCTATGTTTTATGGTCTGGAGACAGAGACATGGACAAAAAGACAGGAGAAAGAACTGGAAGTGGCAGAAATGAAGATGTTGAGGTTCTCCTTAGGAGTGACAAGGATGGATAAGATTAGGAATGAGATCATCAGAGGTACAGCACAGGTTGAACAACTGGGAGATAAAGTTAAGAGACTGAAATGGTTTGGACATGTCCAGAGGAGGGACAGTGGGTATATTGGTAGAAGGATGTTAGAAATGCAGCTGCCAAGAAAAAGACAAAGAGGAAGGCCAAAAAGAAGATATATGGATGCAGATAGAGAGGACATGGATATAGTTGGAGTGAGGACAGAGGACGCAGAGGACAAGTGAGATGTAGGAGGATGACTCGCTGTGGTGAGCCCTGAGGAGGGAAAAGCTGAAAGAAGAAGAAAACAAGGACCAGATTTAGCGTGTTGGCTTTCAGTTTGACATTTGTGTTTTAGACTATATGAACTCCAGAACCAACAACTGGGCTCACAGATGATATATAAATAGATGGAAGTGGAACAACATTTAGATTGAACATTATAAACAGAGTCAAGATTAGCTAAGTAGAGAAAACAAAAATAAAAATAAAAAGTTGACAAATGTGAAACACCTGCTGGATAGATTTAATTTTTACAAACTTTCCTGTGGAATGTAAAGTGGAGTTTCCTACAGGACTAGTTTCAGCTCAGCTCAGACTGCAGAACATTAAATGCTGTTAAAATGTGCAAACACTGTTTATTGATGAGCGGACCACGTTGATCTGAAAGTAATGTTGTTCTGCAACAAATGAATCACCTTTCTTTTTTTTTTTACTTTACCTGTTCCTCATTCTTCCTCCTCTACAAAACTGACTGACCGCTGCTGCTGCTGATGACTTCATAACTCTTCATGACTGTGATGCAGTAAGACTTTTCCATCAGTGATCAGTGTTTAAACAGTCTGCGTTCACCAATATTTTCACTGCACAGAACATCTATGTGTTGATGTTGGAAAATTACTCCAGCATCCTGCTCTGAGCCTTTAGCTTCAGTTGTTCAGAAAGCTGATATTGCCTAATCCATTGTGTCACATCTACACCCATAAAAGGTTGATCCGTTTCCAGGCGGTGCACAATGCCACAAGTTTCACCCTGAGGAATTTGTCACACTCCCTTTTCCTTTTTCTTACCCAACTTTTTTGTTTGTTTTTGGTTTTCTTTGTTTTATGTGAAAAGGCGAGGACTGATTGAAGCCCAAATGAATAAGTCACGCTGACAATAGTTCAAAGAATTAAATACTTCTCAGGGGAAGCCAGGATGGTGTAACGTTTATTTCCTGGTACAAATTTATCACTTTCTGGTGCTGGCTTGCACATGAATAAATAGATAGCAGAGCAAAAAACAATACATGCACACACAAATACTCTTTTACCTCCGGGACGTTCATGGTTGCGATCAGTATGCAGCAACATTGCAATGGGCATTCCAACATTTTTAGAGCGACCAGCAACCAGTACATTCTTTCCCACAGTCTCAATACCTGTAAAAAAAAACAACAAGATCGTTTTAGGGCAAAATTTTAACATTTAACATTTTATTATTTTTTTAAATGCTTGTTTGACCATACACGTGAACTTTTCTTTAACAACAAACTCAAACTTGAACACTTCCAACCAGTTCAAGCTAAAATGTCGTGGACTTTTATATTTTGTAGTCACTGGGAGAGTGACGATGTAGATGTTAGAGAAGGTCGGCCTGTGATCTGAAGGTCACCTGTTCGACCCCGAACAGACATAAAAAATGTTGGCAAAAAAGGCGGAGCACCCACACCTGCCTCCATCCTCATTTGCCCCACTCTGGGCCTTTCAGCAAGGCCTTTAACCCCCACCATCTGCTCCCTCGGTCACCCTAGATGTCAGCTCTCTGCTCCTCACAGAGGGCTGTGGTAGCTCGATGGTCTGTGGTTGTGTCAGGAAGGACATCCAGTGTAAAAACAATCGCCAAGACTTTGTGCGAGTTGCTGTGATGAGTCCTAGCGTTGTTTGATATTTGGTGCAGCACAAGTGTAACACGGACCCTGGATGGTGTAGAGACGTAGGTGTTGGTGCAGGTAAATAACTGTCTACTATAAAGTTGACTTTTTTCTGAATTTTCCCTCTTCAGGGGTTGCCAGAGCGAGTCATCCTCCTCCATCTCACTCTGTCGTCACTCCAACTACCTCCATGTCCTCTCTAACTGCATCCATATATCTTCTTTATGGCCTTCCTCCGTTTCTTTCCTGGCAGCTGCACTTTTCATGTTCTTCTACCCATATATTCACCCTGTCCCTCCTCTGGGCATGTCCAGACCATCTCAGTCTGGCCTCTCTCATCTCCCAGTTGTTCAGCCTGTACTGTACCTCTAATGATCTCATTCCTAATCTTATCCATCCTTGTCACACCTAAGGAGAACCTCAACATCTTCATCTCTGCTACTTCCAGTTCTGTCTCTTATCTTTTTGTCAATCACACTGTCCCCAAACCATTCAACATAGATGGTCTCACCACTGTCTTTAGATCATACATTTGACCATTGCTGCCACTCTTTTGTCACAAATCATTCTTGAAACTTTTCTCTATCCACTCCATCCTGTTTGGACTCTCTTCTTCACCTCTTTACCACACTCCCCATTTTCCTGGATAGTTGACTCTAAGTACTTGAAGTCCTGCATCTAGACCTCTGCTCCTTGTACCCTCAAAGAGGTCCAGGACTTTATGACCAGTGACACAGCTTAAAAATCCACAGCACAATGTTCATTTAACATGCAATGAAACTGCAGACAAAAAAGTTGCTTCTCTAAAACCCCTGTGGTAAACTCATATCTGAGGAATTACCTAACAAAGTTAAGTCTGGTCCTCTGGACATTCAAAAAACAAAACAAAGCAAAACAAAAAAAAAATGTAGAAATGTTTTGTCTTTCATCTGAAGACTTCTTCAGTCTGAGGTGCTGTATTCAGCTCAGTCTTATAAATAGCACCGTCTCATAGTGGATCTATGAGACGGTGCTATTTATAAGTTCAAATTTCAATATCTGAGGAATTAATTTACTGCTATGCAAAGCTCTCAGCAAAGCAATATATTTACTCTTTGAAATGTCCAAAACAGTAGAAGTCTATCAACTTCTGCAGTTATTCATTCAACAAATAAGACAAGATAGAACTTTATTGATCCCGCAGGAAATTATTGAATCAACACATTATTCAAAGATGCAATATAATAAAAGGTTGAAAGTTGAGTAAAAATTGCAAAAAAAAAAAATGTTATTATTAAAAACAAAAGGAGCCATCGAGGTCTATTGTTTCCTCATAATCTGAACTTATTATAAACCAAATAATGATCATTTTAGGAAAGCATTAAACAGCCTAAATGCACCTTCTTGCCTTCTGGTGGTCTCTTTATCTCGACTATCTGCAGCGAGGACCATAGCATCAGAACTGTGCTACTTTTTTAAACTCTTTCTGTGCAACAATAACCTTAACTGAACTTTCTTGGTCAGCAGCCAATTTTTATTATTTCGTGGTGACAGACACTATCCTGTTCTGGGTTTCGTCAGTGAGTCATTTCCCGTCGCCAACTTAAACTGTCAACTCTAACGTATCGTATTTATAAATACTACAAGTAATGCCAAATGTTTAACTGACATTGAGGCATCGCACAAGAAGGTGCTATCTTAAAAATTTACACCTAATATTTTCAGAAATTATGATTATAGGATCAGATCAACATTTCATTTGAAAATCTAAAGCACTGTAGTTTTAATGTTATCTTTAGGGCACAATATAAATGGTAAAACCTTTGGATTAAACACTGAGAATTACATCATTTCTGGGTTATGAGTGGCCCAGTATTGGAATGGCACAGTGGAAATGTTTAGCATAACAATATCAGTTATATTAAGCAATGTTAGAAATTATAAATACTAATTACAATAGTTTATTATGACTGCTTAGATACTAAAAAAGTTTTAAAAAAATCTACAGTTAGCAAAACTTTACCCTCATTTAGCAAGACACTAGTCCAGATTTGCACAACTATTAGCACTCACTTTTTGCAAAACACATTTGTCTACAGACAGATGTCATAATGTCTTTTCCCAACCATTTCAAAGCACTGACTTCGTAATTAACCACATCTACGACTAAATTTACACTCATCCTGCAGGTTTGCAACACATACATGCTTTATTGAAAACACACCAATCAGGTAGAAGCAGTTTACTGATGCAGCAACTATACAGAGATGGATTCTGCACACAAAGAAACTCATTTCATAATTGTGAGGATTGTGTTCCTCTGTGTTTCTCCCTCACATAATCAGTAGGGATGCACCGATCCACTTTTTTTTAACTTCAGATCCGATCCCGATACCTAAGTCTGAATATCGACCGATACCGATCCAGTTCCGATATCATGATCATCATTGATTTTATATGAGGCTGTAATAATCTCCTCTCAAGTACAATTTGTATAAATATATGCATGCATGTCCAAAAAGGCAACTTGAGGAAAATTGTATTAATGTTGGATAAGTTTTAAAGTTATAATTAAATTCTAACACAAAACATGTTTTTTTTTATTCCTAGCTTTAAAGTGGATATTAAAGTGATTGATTCAAGTGATTGTTTAAAGGTATTTTATATTTTTTTAAATAAGAGGCAGATATAAGAATTTTTTTCTTCTTTCTGCACTCTTTTCATTCAATGTTTTCTTTTTGATGTTTTTTTTATTGTTTCTTTTAAATGAATGAATAAATGAATTAAATAAAATGTTAAATGGCTTCAAACATCTGCTGCGTTCATGACATAAACCAACAGACATGTTCCTGTTTTTAATAATAATAATACATTTTATTTCAGGGTGCCTTTCAAAAACCCAAGGTCACCTTACAAAAAGTATTTTACATCACTTTATAATGTAGCTGTTTTTGTTTATAATATAATTTTCAAATCATGTTTTTTTATGATTGTCTACGTTGTACTGATAAATATCTCCTGGAGGGTAAACTATATCTTGGCTGCAAGTATCAAGCTGAGAAATCCTTCGTTTTCTACAACTGATAGTGGTTGGTCATGAATCATGATGAAGTTTAGCAACTTCTCTGTAAACATTTGAGCTCCGTGGCTTCAGTGATGTCTTCTTCTTGTTCAATCCGAAGCAGGCAGCCTGATCTGGGGCAGCCACGCTCAGTCTGTCCCTCCTCAGAGACGGGCAGACTGAGCGGGGCAAATTGGACGCGGCTGACCGGGGTCGAGTTGGCTGCCCCGGGTTGAGCAAAGAGCAGCGCCCCGCTGAATCCACCGAGCTCTAATGTCCATCGTAAAACTAACCTTACCGTGGTTTAATGTGGCGCTATGGCTCTGCAGACATTGCGCGTTGCTGCATTGCTTTGTGGTGTTTTTAGGGGTTGAACGAGTATATAATTTTTAAACTCGACATTAACATAATAAAACCCGAGTAGAACTCGAGTATTTGATGACATCATAGATCTCAAGATACAAAAATAAATAAATAAATAAATAAAACCGCAAAAGAGGTAATTATTTACAAAAAGAAGACCAACAAAACATTGGGAGTGTATATTATGCTCCTACCATTTATCATACTGCAAATAAGTCACAGGAAAAACTAAACTATTAGTTATTATTATTAAACTGCAAACGTGAAGAAACGTGCACGTCAAAAACGAAACTTAACGTGGAGGGGGGGGTTTGACCACCCCGCACCACCGCCAGCTGTGGTGCGCATTAAGTTTAGTTTTAGAGATTAATATGTTTACAGATTTTTTAATAGGTTTAGAGATTAATATTTTTTGCTCTTTGTTTGTGAAACAAGGTCAGAGGAAGCTGGTTCTGGTTCGGTGGATTGGACCCGGTGTTACACCATACTCTGTGACCTGCAACAGTGCAACTCCGCCCCCTACGGTCATACGGTGGTCACATAATATGACGTCACTACGGTTACTCGACGTTAGATTTTAACCCCGATAGATGTCCTAGCAATCGATGTGTAGATTACTCGAGTACTCTGTTAATGCCCTAGTTTCTAGTGTAAAATACTTTCACACAGCAGACATGTTTAGATGAAAAGTTTGTTAGTTCTTAGCCACAGTGCTGCTAACTCAGTCCTCACGTTGTAGCTGGCTGCAAACTATGAAATGGATTTCCTGAATGTGAGGCGGGTCTTATTACTCTGGGTTCATGAGACACGCAGCAGTTCAGGAAATCCATTCCATAGTTTGAAGCCAACTTGCATCGTGGATCGGAAATATCGGCAGGAGGATCGGAAAATCCGATACGTAAATTATGCTGGTATCGGAGGCCGATACCGATACTGGATCGGAACGGCCCCATCCCTAATAATCAGTTCCCCCTCTGCCACCTCTTGTCCTTCCTCAGGTGTTTGTGTTTATCCCCTCAGTGTGTCTTTATATTCTGCATGAGGATTGTCCTCTCTGGCGTTATGTCCCGCTTTCCTCTGAGACTTTTTGTAAGATTTTGCTGCCACGTCAGCCTTTTGTTTTTGTTTAATGAACTGACTCTTTATTTTACCCTCAAGTTCTCTGCCTGCACCTTGGATTTGATTATCAGCAGAACATGACAATAATGGCTTTTATTGAAGATCTAACAAGTGGTGTTGATGATATTGTATGGCCAGGTCCAGCTAGACAAATAATGTGTGTTTTTGTTTTGTTTGTTTCTTTGTCTTTACAAATATGTGATGATTTTACAGTAGTAAGAAAACACAAATATATTTTAATCAAACTACCATAATGACTGACTTGAATATATGGTAAAAATAAATATTTTCATCATTCTGCAGCATTGTTTTGTGTAGTGCTTGGTGAATTTATTGATGTACTTATTCTGTATACCTCACTTGTTTTTACCATGAAGAAAGTCAAAGTGTTTGAGGTTGAGCATACAGGTCTGTAAATTGTTAAAAAGGCAAAAGTGAATCATATTATATGAACTATGTGTGTTTTATATAGAAACATCTAAACATGTCCGCTGTGTGGAAGTATTTTACACTAGAAACTAGGGCATATATATACACAAATTTTTTATAAATCTTGTGTATTTTTTTCCCAAGTGTTAAATTTTTCAAAAGATCTTTGGTATCTATTGCCTATTGTGTGCGTGGCTGTGCTAATTGCATGTTACATATATAAAAAAAAGGTGCTCTGTTTTTAAAACTGTACTAAGAAATTGTAAATAATTGCAATACAGTAAAGTCTGTTTCAATCTAACTGCTTTCTAACGCCCTCTTGAGGATAATTTGCTCACAACAACTACTGTATACAATTGAGAGACACCAACATTCATTCAACCTATACGGGTTACGTGACATGTTAGGTGAACTTTAGATGTGTTTGTTTACCTGCTCTTTTGATAATCTCCCAGACAGCTGCAGGTGTCGCTGGCACCATGGATCTCTGGCCCAGGCACAACTTTCCAATATTCACAATATGAAAGCCATCGACATCCTTCTCTGGAGCGATGGCGTTACATACTGCTCGCTCGTTGATGTGATCTGAAGAAAGAAGTGGCCAAAATAAATGCTATTATGTACATACAATGTCGGGCATTGTGGCTAATGAGACTTTGCTGTTTGTTTCATACAGAATGAGGAACTGTAGAGTTAAGAAAAAATAAGCATTTGTGATGATTTCTGAAACTGAAAATTTTGAACATTTAATTTATTGGAATTTTTTTTAATGCAAATGGGTGAACAAATATATTGCTTTTCTAAAGACGTGAGCTCATTATAAATTTAATGCAAATAACTAAAACAAAAAATAGGGTGGACGCATGTTTTACACCTTGTTTACACATCCCATACAGAGGGTCACACGTCAACTCCTTGCACAAGACTGACACGTTTACTGTATAAATCAGTCAGCAAGAATTGATCAACGAGGAAAACTAATCTAGAGTGCGGCGTTTATGTTCACCTGGAAGTGGCAGCTGCACCAAAAGGCCACTGACCCTCCAGTCTCGGTTCATTTCGTCGATGAGCTCCAACAACTCCTCCTGAGAGACGGAGCTCGGCCGAACCACTGTCTCACTGGAGATACCTGTAAAGCACACTCACGTTACACATTTACATGTTGTATAATCATTTAATATGATCAACTTATAGCCACGTGCACCAGTGTGACATTATACTGCATTGTGTTTCCTTAAGAAAATGTTAAACTGCTTCTTTGATTTGTAGTGTTCAGAAAGGCACACACTGCTCGTATCTGACCCAGGATGCTGGCTGCCCGGGTCTTGTTCCTAACATAGGTTCGACTGGCTGGGTCGTCTCCAACTAGGACCACTCCAAGGTGGGGTCTCAGGTTACCCTGAGCCACCAGCTCCTCAACATCACGCTGGATTTCTCTGTGAAGCTGTCGAACCAACTCCGTCCCCGAAATCACCACAGCAGTATGCCTAAAGTGTAATACAAAGTTTGTCATACAGTTGGCTTGTCCACATAAAACAAGCAAATTAAACTTGTCACCAGATAATGGCTCCAAATACTAAACAGTTTGGAGGTACATCAATGATTACAGTACTTCTTGCAAGTTTAATGATAATAATAAATAAACAACTTATTATGTTTTCCAAAGTTAATGACAAATGTTTTGCCAAGTTAGAAAGTACAAATGTGTAAAATGAACTTACAGTACCAATGTACTAATGGTTAGCTAACAAACACTAGTTGTTGTTAGCTAATATTCATTACAAATAATTATAACTAGACCACCTAAATGTATGAATATGGATTTAGCCTTTAGATACATTTAGCTTTTAGCTAACCTTTTAGTTTTGAGCTAGCCTTTTAATACTTTTGGCAAGCCTTTTGCTACTTCTAGCTTTTAATTGGCTTTCTGTTACTTATAGCGTTTAATCATCTTTTTACTGCTATTAGCTAGGTGATGAACAGACAAATGGACTAGTTGATTTTAGATCATCTCACGAGTTTTTATATTTCAAGTTGACTAGTCGCACTGGACCATTTTCCTCAATAAATAAAATGACCAAGTATATTTTTGTCTTGTTTGTTTAAATGGGTTCTCTTTATCTACTTTTAGGACTTGTGTGAAAATCTGTTGATGTTTTAGGTCAAATTTATGCAGAAATATAGAACATTCTAAAGGGTTCACAAACTTTCAAGCACCACTATATTATTTTGCCAGTTTTTTTTTTTAGGTAGCCTTTTGCCACTTTTTAATTGGCCTTCTTTACTTTTCATTTAGCTACATTTAGCTTTTAGCCTCCCATGTGTGTTCAGCTTCTATTAGCTTTAACGACTGTTTCAGCTTCATCAGAAGTCATTCAGTTCACACTGCATTGTCACATAAACTGACATCTTTCTAGTTTGCTTTATGTTACTCTACATTGAAATGTTTAAATATTTTATTATTATTATTAAGACTAATTCTTAATAATGTTATTCGTGTAGAAGGGGGTAACATTTAAAACTAAGCTCATCTAGCAAAATGACTCTAAAGTTGGATGCTGCTAACACCGGTGTTGTGCCGAAAAAAAATCACCCCTACTGTAAAAAGTGGTTTCCACCATTAACGGTCCTCTCCTCCGACGTCGTTCAGTCTCATAAACGAGCACAAGAGCGCGGTATGCTCCTAGTGCTGCAACGCAAGTTTGACGAGTTACACAATTCCGACACATCCATTTAAACCTTGTCTTTTTTTCACGTTCAATCCCCCAATGACCGTTTAACCGGCGCGCGCTACCCGGCACAGTGACGTATCACTCGCCATCCTCCGTCACGTGACGCTACGTAATGCCGGTGCTCGAACGTCTCTCATCTGTCTCTGCTCGTAAATCACAGGAAGCGCGGCTGACAGCTGATGCGGTGCCCTTTTACCTTCTCGCCGAGTCATGTAGATGCCTCCTCTGACTCTCGTATTTTCTGTGTATTCGCAGTTTGGCGCGGCAGCAGTGAAAGTGGGCGGTTAGCGGGGCGCAAATCCTGAAGGAGGAGCGTAGAGGTGTAACCGATGCCGCCATATTTGCGTGCTCGGCGTACAGTGCGTGTGGACGTCCTACGTGTGTGCGTAGCTGGGCTTTATATGGGGCAAATATGGGCTATTCTCTTATACAGAACTTGTGTTTTTGCTCATGAGGAAGAGGTAACGTGTGTTTATTTGCTACATATAATGAGTATGTAATAAAGGAAAAGTAAATAAAGCTACAAACTACTTGAAATTAGAACATTTGTATACTTTACAAAATTATTGGTTCATAGTTTGCACAAGAAAATGTAGTTACAAAAGGCAGTGTATTAAAATTGATTCTCACTTTTTTTCCATCTTCAAACCCAAAAAAACAAATAGAAGCGACTTGGGGCCTTGACTATATGTTTTTAATTTTACTCGTTTCTTTTCAAGGTGGCAACAGTGCTGGAGTCTGTATTTATAACAGAGATGGACAAAATGATGCCTCAGTTTATGACCTCAAGATCCCAAACTCTTCCATCCATCAATTATCTTTACCCGCTTCTTCCTTTTTTGGGTCACGGAGGTCACTGGTGCCCATGTCCAGCAATCACAGTGCGAGAGGTGGGGACACGCTACAAGTCTCCAGTCCATCACAGGGACACATCGAGACAACCAACCATTCACACTCTCACACGGACAATATAGTTACCAATCAGCCTAACATGCATGTTTTTGGTCTGTAGGAGTAAACTGGAGTACCCGAAGAAAAACTATGCATGCACGGAGAGAACATGTAAACTCCACCCAGAATGACCCCCCAGCCAGGGTTCAAGCCAGTGACCTTCTTGCTGAGAGGCGGCAGCTCTACCAACTGCACCACCGTGCACCTACCTCAAATATCACTCATTATATATCCAAAATGGCTACTAAAATTATTAAAATAAGGGCAAAATAAAAATGCAGTTACATATACACATCTTTTTTTTTTTTAAGTTTTGGTTTAAAAATTGTAATATCAGCGCGTTTTAAGTTAATATTGATTTCCCCAAATCATATCAAGTGTGGTTCTGACCCCATTTCTGGAACCCAATTGTCTGAAAGGGGCATAAAAATTGACAATATGTAAAAAAAAGGTGCAGACTAATGTTTCACACAGGTCTTTACTGACTGATCTGATCAGAAATTACATCTCTGCGTTGTAGCCAGCAGCTGTGCCATCAGTTTGACATTGCCTTTTACAGAACATGTTTTTAATATCCTGATGGCCTTGCCCCCCTGTACCTCTCTGAACTGCTGCATCCCTAAAACCTAAACCTCCGCTCTCTCAGGTCAGCTAACCAGCTGCTCCTGAGGGTCCCTATAATCAGACTTGTGGGGGTCAAGCTTTTGCTGCAGCAGCTCCCAAACGGTGGAACCCCTTCCATCTCACACAGGCCTCTACATTATCTATTTTCAAAACTCTTCTTAAAACCCACTTGTTTTATTTGGCTTTTGTAAAAGGTTGTTTCTATTTGTACCCGATGCAATTTTTTTAGTCTTTATTGCTTATTTCAATTTTGTGGTCGGATCAGATTTTACGCATCTTATTGTTTTTATTTCACTCGTGTTGTGAGCCATGTTTTAATGTTGACTCTGTACTTTGCTCTGCTGTGGTGTGTAAAGTGCTTCACAAAGTTGGATTGGCAGCTCTGCTGCTGCTTGTCTGGAGCCACATCAGGTCAGAAAGTGATCCTTCAGAGGACCAGGCCTTCAGACATCAAAATAAAATACTTTAACTGTCCTGAACCACCTCTGAATGTCGCCGGGGGAACAAGATTTGATCGTGTTCACACCTGTATTTTATAAATATTCCCATCAACCAGGTTGCATGTTAGGGTGTTTACACAGTAAATAAAAGCTATAGTCAGCAGCTTGTTACATCAAGTTCACATGAAGTGGCTAAAGTGTCACTTGCTTACAAATGTTTTTATGCTATGTGGCTGCAAGCAACCCTTATTGCCCCTTTTACAAAGATATCAACATTTGGTTGTTGCAGACTAGTTGCTGCAACTGAGAAAGGCCAAAGTAAAAATAAATCCTTCAGAATAAAACGCATAAGAAAAAAGTGACAATACACTTAAGGCCGCCTTGTCATTTGTTACCAATGACGTGTTTTAATTGTCATCCTCTTTTGAACGTTGTCATTATCTTGGTAAAAAAAATCAAACAGCCTGACATAATCTATCCATTTTCTTTACCTGCCTTTTCCTTTTTGTGCTGCAAGATAAAACAAAATCCACAACCTAAACGTTTTTAAAATTGATGCCACAAGATGGCAGCAAATGATTAGCTTATTTAAAACTCAAACTGCAAAGAAAATGGAAAATCTGCTTTGTATTCTGTCCAGTGGCGTTACAGATCAAATATATGGGAATATTGATCAAATGATCAATACAAACGTGACGAAAGAAAACTATAGTCTGGTAAAGGTCAAGGAGTTATATGATTTACACCAACATGCAGATCGTCCTGTAAACAATGGGAGAAAAGTGACTCAACTGTTTAAATCAAAGTGAAAATAAACAGTAATTATGTTTTTTTTTTTTTTAAACTAGCTTATTTACTTTTTTCGTTGCTAAACCAAGATATCTGAATGCTGAACTTTTTTTAATGCAATTCTTTTATTTACATAATACGGTAATTAATGAACATTTTAATCTCACCTTTCACTTCAAAACTCATCATACACATAAATTATTTAATAAATGCAATAAGTAAACTCGTTGTCAGGGATTGTTTTTAATTATGACCAAAATAATTACTTTTTTTTTTTTTACAATTCCAACATGTGAAACAGACCTTAAAGCGCATATATTAGAATAGTTATATTGTATATAAGTGCAAATACTGATTCAATTTCAATAATTAGGCATAGAGTAATAAATAAAAATTCTAGAATTGCGCAGCTCGAGGTGGCTGCATGTTGGAGCAGCTCTGTTACATTCATTCTGAAATATTTCTTTTGGAAACTTTAATTCCTCTTCTTCGGGTGTAAATCACTTTTTTTTTTTTTTTTTTTTTTTTTTTGGATGATTGTTTCCTCTGCTATCAGATGCTGTGCGGCTGGAAGGATTTTACTAAAACTTTTTTTTTTTTACTTTTGGACATTTGTTATGATGCGTAACCATGGCAACAAGGTGTTTTTTACAGTCGGGAGCTGCTGATTAACATCTCAATGCTCAAATAATATCTCAAGCCCAAATTTCAAATGAGTTGAAAAGGAGGCGTCGTAGATGCACAGCACAGCCAGCCACTACCTGCTGGCTGTGCTCAAGTGCCTGACTGCTGAGATCCTGGAACTGGCAGGAAGCGTGGCTCGTGACAGCAGAGCGACCAGGATCGTTCAGAGATGAGGTGCTCAGGAGGCTGCTGCGAGGAGTGGCCATCTCTCTGGGAGGAGTTCTGCGTGGCATTCGGGCGATTCTGCAGCCCGGGGGAACCGAGAGGCTAGCTGAGTTTGTGTGGATGAATCGAATGGCATCTGCAGCCCTTTTCTTCGGATCCACTGTGGGACAGACCTTTACAAGAGATCCTTCCTGCCTACAGCCATCAGTATCTATAGCAGCTCACAATGAAACAAAGATGACCAGTTACAACAACATGTAATTTCCCTTTGGGATTAATAAAGTATATTTGAAATTTTGAATTTGAAACTTCATAGAAGCCCAAGTCATCCTGGTAATAAAAGGTGATAGCAGGTTTATGTTGTTTTCATTTTGTTGTGCTGCAGCCAGTATATGGATTGAAAAAAATCTATTAGCGTTGCTGGTAATTTATAGAAAGGCAACACCATAGGAATATAACAACATAGCTTACACAAGTGTTCACTGTGCAACTGGATTCTGTCATGCTGGTGTTAAAAAGGGAAAAGATGCAAAGTCGGGACTATTAAGTAATGTGCAAATACTAGCCTAGACATTGTAATTTCCATTTTTTATCAGTTGTGTACCAAACTTGGCTTAAACAAGACAAACGTGAGCAACATATCAGTGTTTGTTTTTAGTTGTCCCTATCTCTCCTGAATGAAAACAACTTGTTGACATAAAGAATGTATGATGCACGACACATTTAGAGAAAAGGTTTGTTTAAGTGCTGGGAGTGTACTCAGAAACTGTGGGAAACCCTCCACCCAGCCAGGCCTGCCTGAACATGAGACATTATCCCAGCGTGACGAAAACTAATCTTAGACACACGTTGTGTTTGCAGATCCATAGGTTAGTAACCTAACGCCCACCAGTCTGCTTCCAAATAACACTTTTTGGTATAGATTTATTGGTAAAAACAGGCTGCATTGTTGCTATCATAATATTAAGAATGAAAGGAATCTAGGAAAACAAAGCCCATTGATTTCCTGTAAGTGTGACGTAGATGTGATATTTGTTGTGTGGCTGTTAGATGAGAGAACTGGGACACAAAATGCTTTTGGTTAACAAGAGTTGCTTTTAAAATAATTTCCACCACTTGAGGGATACAAATCCCTTTGCATTCATGTTTTTTTTTTAAATTATGGTTTTTAGCCTTCTCTGTTGAAACAGGATTAATTTTATCAATAAGGTGCATTACTTGTGACATGATGGAAACATAACTTCATCTTCAACCACTTATCTGGAGCAATGAGGCGGAGGCAACAGGTTCAGGAGAGAAACTCAGACATCCCTCTCCCCAGTGACACTTTCCAGCTCATCCTGGACCATACCTTTATTTTAATCATGAATTAGCTAATTACAATTAAACATATTATTGTAAATGAAAAATTGAGCATACAGGTAAGAAAGATAAAAGGCAAGAACTATGAATCAACAAGAGTCAGCGCCTGACAAAGCCTGAGGTGTTTTTTTGTTTTTGTTTTTTATTAATTTTACCAAGGGCAAGGTTCTGTTTGTTTACAAGGAGGGGTGAGGCCTAAAACTTGTGCTAGAACCAGCTTGCAGTTAAGGATGGTCCCATTCCTTCTTCACCTTCTGGGTTCCAGTTGGAAGTCTAGATACTGTGCGTAAAATAGTATATATTTGAAGTGGAAAATACCAAAGACAACACAGTTTCACACAGAAAACAGAAATTTAGCACCACCAAGATGAAAATGTTATTAAGTATAAGTGATATATGTTGTCATCGTTGTATGTTCCCATACATCAACAAAATTGTAAGGCCACTTTGATTAGTGATATGTGCTGCTGATTATACATGCTGTTGATAATTTCATGCTGCTGTATTCATTCGTACTCATCTACTCACACAGACTTATGTTTGCGCTGCTGATGTTCAGCGTATTGTTTTGCACTATTAGTGTTTAGCATATTCTTAGTTTATATCTTAGATCCTTATTTACTGTTTTATTTAACACTTTATATTTTGTTATTGTTGTAAATGGGACCATGTGTACACAATTTTGTTCCACCTCATATACCACATGTGATGTGAATGACAATAAACCTACTTGAACTTGATTCTCTGCATTTAACCCATTGCACCTGGGATACACCCAGGTGGGGCAGTGGGCAGCTATTGAGCGCCCGGGAAGCAATTAGGGATTGGATGTCTTGCTTAGAGACACCACGGCATGTGGGAATGGCTGGGAGTCGAGCCGCGACTTTCTGCTCCCAGGTTGGCTGCCCTACCTCTACCCCATCTCGGCCCCAGTGGGGGCTCGTCCGGGATTAAAAGACATCTAACATACTAACTAATATCAACTAACCAGGTATTAGTTGCTAGATTGGCATCTATAAATCACTGAAGGATAATATGTCTCACATTGAGAGGAGCAAGTTGAGGTGGTTTGGGCATCTGGTAAGGATGCTCCCTGGGCGCCTCCCTAGGGAGACGCTTCGGGCATGTCCAACTAGGAAGAGACCCTGGGGAAGACCCAGGATACGCTGGAAAGACTATGTTTTTCAGTTGGCCTGGGAACACCTTGGAATCCTTCCAGAAGAGCTAGAAGAGGTGGCTGTGGAAAGAGATGTCTGGGCCGCCCTGCTCAAGCTGCTGCCCCCACGACCCAATTTCAGAATAAGCCGAAGATAATGGATGGATGGATGGATAATATATTTGTCAGATCCTGTCTCAGGTCTTAATTGGATTATTATTTTATTTCAATTTCTTAATAACTTTCAGATGGGGTAGAGGCAGGGCAACTGACTCGGGACCTGAAAGTCCCAGGTTCGATCCCCAGCCATTCCCACATGCCGTGGTGTCTCTGAGCAAGACACCCAATCCCCAATTGCTCTCCGGGCGCTTACATAGCTGCCCACTGCTCCACCTGGGTGTATCGCAGGTGTGATCGGTTAAATGCAGAGAACCAATTTCGTCATTGTATGGGAACTATGAGGACAACACATAGCACTTTACTTTACTTTATAATGTTCTTCTGCTACAGAACGTTTTCTTCTTCCGGTACATGGAAGAGAAAAAGCAATCAAAGACCAAAAAGAAAAATTGAAATATTTATCAAGATGACTTTAAAAGATAACCAAAGTATGGCCGTTTAGAAGAGAATATAAGGGCATAAATAAATTAATAAAATAATTAAGTTCATTGTCAGAGGTGTTTGTAAAGAAGCCTGATAGGTTCATTGGCAATGTATCATGGCTCAAGGAGGAAAAAAAAGAGTCAAAAGAACTTTTTGTCCCACCCTAATAGTAACTCAGTAGATGCATGTCTTTACAAGACCCATAACATAAACTTTTTTTTTTTTTGCCCCGGAGCTTAAACCAAACAAACCCCCATGAGTCATACATGGGTTAATGGTTTTCAGATTGTTTGGTGTTTGTTTTTCTGCATTAGCCTACTTTAAAACTACTGTAAACAAAATATGCACAATTCAATCCAACTCAGTTTATTAGCACAAACTCACAAGAGCCGTCTCAGGGAACTGTAAACGTTCACATATAGTATACAATGCAAGTCAGTGAAAGTTATTTCCCATGAGCTCAGGACTAACAAGTACCAAACAAGAAGAAACTTCCAGCAGAACCAGAACCATGTGCCTCATCTGCTGGGGTTAGAACAGGAAAAAACAAAAACAAATGAACACAGAATGAATGGTCCAGGTGTAGTTTCTATAGTTACAAATATAATCATGGAGCGTAAAGAGTTTTAAAACAGCAGCAGACTGAGAAAATGAGGTCAGTTTTTCCTTCAGCTGTCTAAGCCTATAGCAACAAAACTAAGGGATAGCTCAGGAAACCCAAGCTAACCCTAACTATAGGATCTATCAAAAAGGAAACTCTTATGTCTGGTCTTAAAATTAGACTGAGTGTCAGTTTCACGGACAGAAACCGGCAGTTAGTTCAAGAGAGGAGCTGAACAATTAAAAGCTCTGCCTCCCGCTCTACTACTAGAAACTCCAGGAACCACAAGTAAACCTGCAGTCTGGAAGCAAAAATATGGAACAACAATCTTTAATATAAGATGGAGCTTGGTTGTTGGCAGCTTTGAGACTCTGATAGCAGCATTTTGGATCAGCTAAAGTTCTAAACAAGATTAAAAGCAAAAACAACTGGACTTTATTTGTAAATAAAGACGTTTTGCTTCTCAAGGTAAATCCAGCAAAACAGCTGGCTATATCAACTGGTTTTTAAAGGCTTCTTAAGTTCAACTGAGCTAATTTCACTGACTCGTTGAGTCGAGAGCTGGTAACCGAGAACCAAACAAAGCAACTTTCTTTCTGAAGTTTCCTCTCCAAACCACTATTAGAAATTAATAACAGTGTGTTCACAGAACTTTTCTGTTTAAAGAAAAGGTTGTGGCTGAGTGGTTAGAGTCGTCCTCCGATGCAGGAATTGGGGGTTCGAATCCACCGGCAGTCACATGCCCAAGTGTCCCTGGGCAAGACACTGAACCCTTCGTTGCCTCCGATGTGTGTCCCATTGGTGTATGAATGCGATTAGTCTCTTTAGAATGATTTGTTCAATTAGCTTTGTAGAGATCTAGTAGAGAGCTGTATGAATGGGTAAATGAGGACACAGATTGTAGTGTAAAGTGCTTTGAGTATTTCTATAAGATAGAAAGGCGCTATATAAGTACAGTCCATGTACCATTTAAAAATGACAGAAACTGTAAAATATCCCAAAGGACTTTGGGTGAGTGATCAAAAGTCTTCAGTAACAAATAAAGTTCATTTGTTTTTGCTTTTAATCTTGTTGGATTAATCATGTCCTGGATGACTGAGAATCTTCACCAATGTATCAGGCAAAGATATTCCCTTTTTTGAGCTGGGGGGAGTGGGGGGGGGGACCAGACATTTAAATTATTACCAATTTCCTGAAAACTAAAATCTCTGTATTGCAGCTTAGGCCTCCCCCCATCCAATGATGTTGGCTGGCAGACGGTTACATAACATCTATGTCTGGAACACGTGGTCACCATCATAACAGAAGCAAATATGAAGACAAATTAAGCATCCGGGCTGCGATCAGATGCACTTTGTAACTTGTAGGGTGTAAAGTGAGAAGCAATTTTTATTTTTTGCTAGAGAGCACTAATGGTCTTTTGTGGCCATGCACAATTACATTAATTAATTTTTCCTGGAGTCGTAGTGAGCCACCAGAGATTTACTGCAAACTGGAAATTAATTTTCCAGACAAATAGCTTTGCGTCCATTTGAACACATTTTATGCAGTGACCTTGCGCTGTAGTCTCTCCATATGGTGTCACCTTCTCTTGACTCACTCCCTTTCTCTCTCCCTGTCTCACCCATCTCCCCCTCCTCCTCCTCCATCTCAAATCTGTCATCTCCCAGCAGCATCGAACCGAAGGATCAACCCTCCGAACGGCCCGGATGAGCGCATATATCTAAGGGACCATGGTCGCGTGAGCCGGCCGAGAGGAGAGCAGCCATTCCCGGGGTTGACACTCACCGGACACCGCCGCCGTCTGTCTGCGGGAATCTCACGCGTTTCCACGCAGCCCCTCGGTTCTGGGAAAACCGGAGATTGAGGCGTGGAGGCGGACAACAAACGACGGCACGTTTCTCCCCGTGCGGTGTCACGTTTGGTCGGTAAGAACATTTTGTGTACGTAGAGGAAGCAGCTGGCGTGTTTTTGTTCTCGACGGGGCTTTTCTGCCTCATTTCTTCACTTCGTGCCGCATTTAAAGAGGAACGGGCCTGCTGGTGACTGAGTGTGGAGACAATTAAAATGTCTGCTTTTAACTCGGTCTTTTATGGTTTTTCATGTTCTCTCTCTGGCTCAGCCGTTTTTTTTTAAAAAAACCAAACCGTTTTATGTGCGTGGAGAGAAGGGAGTTGCTGCACGTGCGTAACTCACCGTGTGACAATAGCACCGACTCGTGTTGGGTCATTTTAAAAATGAATGCTGCTTTTTAGCTTGTGAACGGAACTGGAAAAGACGGGTTAAGATTAGCGCAAGGATCCGAGAGCCGCTTTTCGCCGCGTATCACATCGTTTGGCTGTTTATCACGTCAGCCCATTTCCCTCTTGTTGAGCTTTTCTGAGTATTTGACGGCATCTGGACTGCGCATGCGCACTGCGCGACGCTCCATTGCCCAATAATAGTAACTTTGCAGGCGCTTCTCTGGACTCGGTCAGCGCAAACTTCATATTTTAACTCTGGTTTGTTCGTATGGGGTCGGTTTTTTATTTATTTATTATTATTATAGGGAGATTCAGCACAGCTTGTCCACGTGAGGTTGTAGTACTTGTGAGGGCAAGTCCGTTATTTGTTGCGACATACCCTTTTGAGTGCTCTGCAGGGGCCAGCCTCATTGTTACCATAACTATTTGCCCAAGAAGAAGAGCAAACACTGAACCAGAACATGCCATCAGTGAGAACACATGGATTGTGGGAATGCATTTGACTACCGTTGAAAGGGAATTATACAGAATTAAAAAAATGTTTTTTGAGATAAAGGTAGAAACTTTAAGTTGAAGTTCATTCATTCAATCTTTTATACAAGTTAATCCCATTGAGCGAGTCGGGGACTCCTTTACAAGAGAGACCTGGTTTTAACAAAGAGCGATGAAAACGGTGGACAACAAAGACAACAACAGACAATCGTAAAGGATGCGTACAAATTGAGATTTTATTTTATTTTTTTAAGAAGTGAAATTAAAATGTTATTTAAAAAGAAAATGTAACTAAAAAACAGCTAGGTTGTAAGTCGATGTAGAAAACTCTAAACAAGAACGTGTCTGCATTGGTTTTTCCCAGGAACTTAACAAATGCTTAAAGCCACTTAGAGAGGTCAAGGTCGAGAGCTTCAGATCTTTTTGCAAGATATTCCAGGAAACCGGAGTGGAGTAGGAGAAGGCCCTTTTTGCCTAGCTCAGTCTGCACTGAGGGAACACTGCAGGTAATGATGTCCTGAAAGTGTGCACTGTAGCTGCACTGAAGTGCAATAATAACAAAGAATCAGACGTATTCAGTAACAAAGTCCTTAAAGGTACTAAGTTTGATTTCCTTTTCCGTTAAACTCAAAGATGATTTTAATCAACTAGGGGGCTTTGCAGTACGAACAGTATAAAATCTGATAGAGAAGAGGAAACTAAGCTAGTTAGAAGTGGGTACCATATGACCAATAATTAAAATCATGATATTTACGAAATACAGCACTATGCTTCAAAGTCGTTCTTTACTGAATTGTGATTTACAGACCTTTGACCTCTGACCTTTGTTCCTTAGCTCGGAATAAAAACAAACGATACAGATTTCCTTTGACATAATTTAACTTGTATGAAAAAACAGGTTAAAGGCTGGTTTATACTTCCACAAGACGTAAGCCAGTGAATCTGTCATTACGCAGTTTCAGACGTCTTTGATTGGAGCGTTCATAGTCAAGAAGACATGGGAAAATCATCATAATTCCTCCCTCTGCCCTCCTATCGTAGGACACGCCACGCACTTAGCTAAGCATCTAAACGACAATGATAGCAGGATAGACAGAAGTTGTTGGGGTTTTTTTTCACTCACGTATTCTCAGACATTGGAAGAGAGGCTCATGATGCTGGACTTGAGTTGAGGAGGAAGAGGGGGTGGAAGATGATTTGATATTTTTCTCGTTAACCGTTAAACTTCTCATTTTGATGAACTCATCCTCAGGATCGCTGGTTACATTTAGCATGCACAGACGACACACAGCGTGCCAAGCTCAGTCCCAGGGAGTCTAGCGGTGATGGGTTTTGCCTTCTGGGAGCTCACAAGCCGATGTTGCCACGAGTTTTAAAATGGGAAAGGCTACTGTGTACCCTATTATGTCCCAAGTGACCAACGTAAACTGGCTGGCGTTGAAGGAGTTTTTGTCTTTTCCATCACCAACACAGCTGGAGGGCATAGCACATGAACTTTGGCAACTATGGAACTTTCCAAATTGTGTCGGAGCTATTGACGGCAAACGTGAAGATCAAAGCTTCACCATGTGCCGACAGTGCTTTTTACAACTATTTAAGCTACACGTGCTGTTATGCATAACCACGTCAGTCACATTCACACTTAGTTTGATGACAACAGAGCACAGGGGGAAAATTAATTTCAATCAAACATACAAAAGCAACTAAAATTTAGGACAGGAGAGCAAAAGAGCTGTGATGCATTAGAAAGTTGAACTTCTAGTCAATAATAGACAAACCCCAAGAAGACATCTGGACCCAAACTAAGCCTTATCTGCACAGATATGGGTTGTTAAATTTTATAGAAATAGTTTTATTTTCATATTTATTCAAAATATTAACTTGTACACATTTTCCAGCATTTACATAGGCAGCACAGCTTTTCCATAAATTTACAGTAACTCATTTAAGACGGTGCAATTTTTCTAGAATTTACAGTAATTCATTTTACACACACCGTTCTCTTGCATTTACAGTAATTCATTTGAGGTGGCACAGCTTTTTAAGTATTTATGGTAATTCACCATGGCACTCTCTCTGTTTCTGTCTGCAGATGGAAATTGCTGGCCCATATAGAGGTACAGGCCTGAAAAAACAATAAAGTAAGTGAAGAAAACTAGCACAGCTGTCACTGAAAGAGAATTTAACTATAGTATATACATTGTGGACCTTTTGCCAGAAGAAAACGGAATTAGATGGGCCTCAATGATTTTTTTAATAAGGACTACAGGTATATTATGGAAACTCTTAAGTTACTATTATGGGCAGCATGTTGGAAAAATATTTTGTAAACATTTCTAACTTTAAAATGATTCACGTGTTCTTTTATCACCAATGGACATGTCAAAAATTAGTTTACAAGTTAGTTTACTATAAACCTTAACGTAATATTCCTAAATGTACATTAGGTTTCATTAATTAAAACCTAACCCACATGATTAGGACTATCAAACTATTAGGAAAATGTTCAAAAAAGGATGGGAGGGCATAATAGCTGCGGCGCATTAGAAGTGCTTGGAAAATTTGAAATGCAAATTCATACAAAATGTTAAAATTGACAGAAAATCTGAATCTCAAAAATATGGAATTAAAATCAAAATATGTTTTTTTTTTTTTAATATAATGGGCTTCAAGTAAATGGATCAGATTAAGTTCAAGCAAAAATAACCTAAATATACAGATTACTAAAGCACATATTGCTGGTATTTATTTTGTACAGCAAATTCAACTAATTTAGAAACTAGTTAAAATATTCTGAAATGTCTTTAACATAGTCTTAAAAAGTGTTTACTCTGTGTTAGTTTTGGATATTATTGTCATCTGTTTTTGTTTTTTCCTTGTCTACTCTACTGCCTCAGCCACCATAATTCAATGTTTGTATTTTATCTCTTCCATTACAGATTACTAGTAGTGGGCACAGTTCCGCTAACAGCTAATAGTGTAACTAAATTTTCCTTAAGCTGATTATCATTTTTGCAAACTTTGGAAACCGTTACTGGAATTAGCTTCTACTAAATTGGGTTTCGCCAACTTGAAGTCCGTTTACAAGATTCACAAGCTTGTTCCTGTCTGTTTTGGGGGCGTGTCTCAAAGAGTTTGTTAGGCTTACTATGTGTACACATGACAAGATGGGATTGGTCGACGCAACAGCAGCTAGCTGAAGGCATGTTCTTGGCTTACGATGTAAACATGACAAGATGTGATTGGTTGATGCAGTAGCAGCTAGCTGAAAGCACACTATTAGCTTACTACATGTACACATGACCAGACGTGATTGGTCGACACAGCGCAAACTGACAGTTGTCTTAGTGGTTTAGCGTTAGCAAAGCTAATTTTGTAGTTAGTGGAACATGGGTTAGCAAAGCTAACTTTTTGTTTAGCTGTGCCTGCTATTGCAGATATATGTAGATATTTTGTCTTTTTGTTAACATACAACAGAAAAGCAGACAGAATCCAGAAGAAAATTTGTAAGGTAATGATTACATTGACTACCATGATCAGAAATTATGAAAAAGAAGAATAATCTTGCTGTTTGTCTTGGAATGTAAATGTTGTTTTAGTTGTTTTGTCTTTATAATATATTTTAAATTTATCATTCGTTCTTTTACACTTCGGGAACTTGCACCAAACACGGATTGCTCTGTCTTGTCTAGCCTTATAACCTTTAAAACAGAAATGGAACTGTAATGTGATAATATAGAGTTTTTAGTGACTCGCCTCTTGTTTTTATACACTCATTCTTGGTGTGAACATAAAAATGGGCAGTCTGGAGCTTTTGTTGACAAGAATGTTTTATAAGAAACATGTCATTAGCCTCTCCTGTTCCAATTAAAATAAAAAAATAAACGGCACAACAATTATCTCTGAGTTGTGCTTATGTAATTATACTTGACTGTTTATCAAACAAAGTCTAGACAAACAAGAAAATTGAGTAAATTCACAATGGAGGATTGTAAAGCTTTTGTGGTTTCTACCATAACCACTCATTTGTTGTGTCATCTTCTGGTTAAAGAATAATAACATTTATAGCTTTTGTTTAGACAAGTGCATAAGAACGTTTAGCTTTGTAAGTAGCCCTCATTCTTAGAAATGGTTTCTAATCCAGCTCTGGGTGGGGGAGTTGAGTACTCGTACAAAGATTTGGTACATGTGAA